ATCCTCTGGCTCTCTCCCTTTTCAGCCTCTTACCACCAATTGCCAGGAGGGCTGTGGCCTTATAAGAAGAGAAAGAGAGACACTTGTCACTCTCTCTGCCATGTGAGGACGTAGAGAGAAGGAGACTGTAGCCAAGAAGAGGGTTCTCTCCAAAGCCTGACCATGCTGGCATCCTGACCCTGGACGTTCAGCTTCCGGAACTGTAAGGAAATACACGTCCTTTGCTTAAGTTCCTGGCCTGTGGTATTGTTTTGCAGCCCCAGCCAACTAAAACAGTCACCCAACCCAGCAGAAGGCACAGGGAAGGACTCAATTGAACTCATTTTATCGACACCGAGGGAAGTAGAACAAGCTGCAGAGCCTGCAAAGCGCCTCTCGCCTGCTTCTCGTCCTCCTCCGGAGTCTTGATTCATTAGCTCATGCAGCTTCTCACATTAAGGACTTTTTATCAACTCTTTTTGCCGGTTTTTTTTTGTGTTTTTTTTTTTAGCTTTTCCTGTGCCATTTTTATTGCTCGCCCCAAGAGATAACCCAGCAGCAAGACAGATTTTTATCCTGAATATCAGGTAGACCTTCCATCTCTCTTTCTTTTTTTTTTTATTAAGGCAGCTGAACTTCTGCCTTTTTTATCTTGCAAAGTGAGGCAAGCAGGATCAAGAAGAAAGGAAATAAGCCACGAAGCGCTCCCTAAAGTGACAGGCAGGGAAATTGGTTTGCCTTTTCTGCTGCACACAAAAGTGAAATGTCGTCAAGTCCTGTAGATCCTGCCGCCTGAGAAAGTGAGTCCTCACAGACACAGAGAACAGCCTGCGGTCGCCAGAGGGAGGGGCTGGGGACTGGAGGCTGGGTGCTGGGTGGAAAAGGTGAAGGGATTAAGAAGTACACATTGGCGGTTGCAAAATAGTCAAGTACAGCATAGGGAATATAGGCAATAATATTGGAATAATGTATGGTGCTGGGTGGGTACTAGAATTATCGGGGGGATCCCTTTGTAAAGTATCTGATTGTCTGACCACGATGCTGTACGCCTGAAACTAATACACAATAATATTGAATGTCAATTGTAATTGAAAAGAAAAAAAAAAACAACAATTTTTTAAGCAAGCCTACAGGCTGTTCCCTGACAAAGCCATAAGCAGTTCAGAGAGAAAGGTGAACCCGGTAGCTGTGAGGTCCACACGTGTGGGGGGCTCCCCTTCCTTCCTGCCTTTTCTTTCCTCATCAAGATTCTTCTCCCTCACAAAGCAGCCCATCTCCTCCAGCAACAGTCACCCAGGCCTGCCCCCCCCTCCCCCCCCCCGCCGCCCCGGGACCCTTCTCCTTCCACCTGGGCGCTCAGTGGATGCCATCCCTCGGCCCTGGCTCTCACCCCTGCAGACCCCTCTGAGCCCAGCCTGTCCTTCGTAAGAGCAAGGCCTCATGTTAGAGGGGTGGGGCTTCTGCACATTCCCTTTGTGGTCAAAATGGTGATAGTCATACTAATAACCATCATGTATTGATCACTATCTATTTACACGTCACAGTGCTAAGTATTCGACGAGCACGGTTTCATCTGAGTCTCACGACTTTAGGCCCTGCATATTATCACCATCGCCACTTTACAAATGAGGAAAGTGAGTCTTAAAACGGGATTCCTAAAGCCAACCAGTTCCTAAAGTCAGCAGGCAGTCAGGGCCCTGCGGGCGGCCCGGGAAACTGGCCGACAGATGCAGAGCCTTTGCAAGATTCTGATGGAGAAGTCAAGCCAAATTATTTCGACTCATTTTGTAGACAGTTAAAGGCTGCTTAGTAACCGTTCCGTAATTGCGTCATTAAGGGGAACTACCATTTGGTTTTCATAAACGAAAATGAGCTCATTGCTAGAGTTTATCGCATACTCGAATCCAATATTTTACCGAGAGGTGGGTGGCTTGGCGATGCTGTATCAGTTCCACGGTTGCCAGGCATGTGCAGAGCTTGAAGACCCATAATTTTCACAACTCTCCACTGTCAGGCGTCACTGCCTTTGTCTTGAATTTACACTCAAACCTACTGCTGTCTACTTGCTCTTACGTGACATTTCAGCTTTACCACTATTTATATTATTGGTTGTGGGCTCTTCTCTAAACCCTGTAGAACAGCGGTTCTCAACCTGTGGGTCGCAACCCCTTTGGGGGTCGAACAACTCTTTCACAGGGGTCGCCTAAGACCATCGGAAAACACATATATAATTACATATTGTTTTTATGATTAACCACTATGCTTTAATTATGTTCAATTTGTGACAATGAAATTGGGGGTCACCACAACATGAGGAAATGTATTAAAGGGTCGCGGCATTAGGAAGGTTGAGAACCACTGCTATAGAGAGTGGTGAGGTCTGTTGACATATATTTTCACCTGTTATTTTTCAAGAACTATACTGAAATGTCCATTGGGCTAAACCAAATGAAATTGCCTGTCTTCAACCATTTTTACCTTTGGTTAAACCAGTAGTCGGTAAACTCATTAGTCAACAGAGCCAAATATCAACAGTACAACGATTGAAATTTCTTTTGAGAGCCAAATCTTTTAAACTTAAACTATATAGGTAGGTAGATTGTTATTAACTTAATTAGGGTCCTCCTAAGGCTTAGGAAGAGCCACACTCAAGGGGCCAAAGAGCCACATGTGGCTCGCGAGCCGCAGTTTGCCGACCACTGGGTTAAACCATATGAAACTGACTCCAGTCAACCCTTCTTGACCTACAAAAATGACAGTTTCGTGTGGTTTCATCCTAATAGTTCAAATGTAAATTCTTACCTCATTTGCTAGAAATTGTGTGTATAATACCCTCCAAAAATGTAGGTACTGTACCACTTCACAGTACCTCTGAATTTATGTTTTAAATAATTTGTAACATACTATTATTATAAGTTACTATAAGGAAATTGCTATTATTTTAAGTTTGCATTTTTTTTTCTATGAGTTGTTTATGTTTCTCTCTCTTGCTTCAGCATCACCTGATTCCTTTTCACTGTGCAGTGGGAATGGATAGGACATGTGGACCTTGGGGACTTTTGTGCTACCTAGACAGACGCTGGTCAAAAAACGTAAAAAGCACAGCTTTTGGGGCGAAGGAGGTTTTCCAAGCCCCACAACTAGTAAGTGTGGATTCAGGATTCAGATGGAAGTACGTGGCCTCGCTGACTGAGGAAATGATGCCTATTTTCGTAAATGATGTCAATTATCTCTGTAGCCTCCTGAACAAATAAACAAAAAACAAAAACAAAAACAAAAACACAAACAAACAGGCTTCCATGATATCTCTATAGGGAAATTAGGTTTCCACCATTTATTGAGTGCCAGTCACTCTGCTTGGTATGTTAGGGCAAACCTCATTTAATACCACCACAAGCCTTGGGAGGTTGGTGTTATCCATGCGTCCTGGTAGGAAACAAGTTCACAGGCTTGAGTCTAACTCAGTGTTGCAGAACAGGTGGTGAGCGCAGGAAGCAAACTTCAAAACCCATTTGAATGCTCACCACCTGCCTTTTCTTGTTCCTCCCTCCCCCTTCCCTCTGGAACCTGTTTCTCTACCATTTTCACTATTAACCCTTGAACACGCTCTCCCATGGACAAATGCAGCAGCCACCTGGACTCCACCCTCTCTCTGTCCCTACCTACCCCCCAGATGGCCTCCAACTTGCTCCACAATTCTATGTGTAGATCTGATCACAACCCACCTCTTCCATGGCCCCACGGTGCTGGTGAGGTAGAAGGCATTTCCCAGTCCAGCCTTTCAGCTGTGGGGAGGGTCTGCCTTCCATGCTGTGACCACTTCCTGTCCCATAAGCTGGGTCAAAGGGAGGTTGCTTTCCACAAACCTCCCTGAGAGACTAGCTGGTTGTAGTTCACTCTAATACACATCAGCACCGCTCCACTGCCTCCTGGTTCCTGGAACTGGTTGTGGTCCTGACCTGGTCAAGCATGTAATTTCCAGTACCTGGTAGAAACCTCATATGGTCCCTGTGACTGTCCCCCTTTTACTCTATATTCTTCTTTGGTGCCCACCAAGGGGCACAAGGGTCCATTTGGCCTTGCAGCCACCCAACGCATGCCTCCTTGTAAATTTCCCTTTAAAAAGTCTATTCGTTACCAGATGAGTGGCCAGCCTCTTTCTTCAGTCTTTCCCTCCTCTCTGCTTACAGATGTGGATTTGCAGATCCAGAAACTTTCCCTGGGTCTGTGTGTACTAGCACCCACCTACCTTCCTGACCATCTCTGCCAACACTCCCTATCCCCAGCCCCCACCCCAATGACCCCTCTAGCCCTTCCCATTTCCTCTAACACCCATGACCTTTCTAACCCAACTCCTGAGCCTCCTTGCACTTGCTACTCAGGGCCCCTGGAGGGACTTTTTTTTTTTTTTTTTTTTTTACTACCTGCCATTTCTCCACCTGGCAAATTCTCCTTCCTTCAAGGCCCAATTCAAAGGTCGCTGCCTGTTGGAGAGTCATCCCAGACTCTCCTTGGTAGTTCATAACTCCTTTATGTCCACAGGACTTTGCACACATTTTTAATTAGACAGACAGTTTCTGTTGAATGATAGAATGTTGAATGTTGTTGTTGAAATGTCTAATCTATCTTTCCCACTTGATAATGAGCGCCTGGAGGATAAAGATCATGTTGTATTTTCTTTGGATTGCCAGCTCTCAGAAAGCGCTTGGCACAAGGTCAGTACTCAATAAATATTCATTAATGTGCAAATACCCCCGTAGTCTCTGGTGCACACAGAGCACACTGAGAAGCTGTTCGGTACAGCGGATTGAAATGGAACCTAGAGGAAGGATGACTGACTCCAGTCTGGGCTCATCTACCAGCTGGCTGTGTCACCAGGGACAGCACTGATCTGGGTCTCAGTCCCCTCACTTGTAAGGGGGTGGGGGGCGGACATCTGAGTGTCCTTTCAGGGCTCACATCCGATGATGTGAAGGATTTGACAGCTCATCTCTAAAACTATCTTTTTTTCTCACCCAAAGGAAAAGACGTTGGAGGTCTTCTAAGGAGAGTCATGGCACACGCTCTGGAGCCTCTATCCCAGATGCCCGTCATCAAGTTCAAGGGCCAGGACTTTAAGACCCTGCGGGATCGTTGCCTACACAGAGGCCTCCTGTTTGAGGATGAGACCTTCCCTGCCGAGATTTCTTCCATAGGCCCGTTGCTGCTCCAGGGAAAACACCTCTCCAGCCTGCAGTGGGAGCGCCCAAAGGTGAGTGAGCCCCCCAGGCACACACCCACCTCCTGGGCCCTCTGAGCCAGCCCACCATGGTCCCTCCCATGGCCCCTCAGGACCCCTGAGTTCTAACCCAGCCCTAACACTGAGCACATCACTAGATAACCTGCCTCGGTATTCTCACCTGAAAAATGAGAAGACATAGGTGTGAAGAGTGTCTCTGAGGTCTCTTCCGTCTCCATAATTGAGCCTGTCATCAGTCTTTATTCTCTATAGGTATGACTGTCTTTATCTCCTGTTCCTTTTTATCTGTTAGAATTTACTCAAAGGGAAGCTACCATGTCAGTCACTTGTACAGTAGGATGAATTTAAATAATTGGCTCGCCTCTCTCACTTTTATTTGTATTTTCAATCTTGCAAAGACCTGATCACCTACAAAAGAATTTTAGACATCAGCGGGAAAATTAGGAAGCTATTTCAGGGCAACATTCCAAGTCCTCTGAGTCCCCCACCCCAGCAGATGGCCACTAACTCCACCTTGCAGCAAGGAGAGCCTTGTTGGTTTTTCCAGAACCATCTCAGTTTCAGGGTGTGAGGCTCCAGAGGACATTGCTCAGCCAACTTTATGTTTTCATAATCTCATCAGGGCCACTGTTGATGACAAAGGCCCAGGTCACGGTCACTGTGAGTGCCCTGGTGCTCAAAGCTTCTGTTTGTGCTTCCAAAAGCAGCCAGTGGAGCCTAAAACAAGGGACAATGCTATCATGTCTAGTAAGCTAATGATGATAACATCAGCAAGTAAAACTGAGCACATATTAAATGCCATGCACTCTACCCAGCACTTTCAGTAAAGTCACATTAGGTTGTCCAGAAAAGGCATTTTCTGGTGACACAGAACAAGACACAGAGCTCTGGGGGTGCCAACTCAGGACAGACTTGAAGCCTCAGGGAAGGGGGAAATTAGTGGGGATCAGGTGGGGCTTGGATCTGCTTAAAGAAAGATGGGGTGCTCCAGCCTTCTAGGACCCATCTTCCCAGCCAGCAGCAACAAGTCCCCACAATGACTCTCTTCTTCAGGCCTTCCCCTCCTAAGGAGGGCTGACCAGAGAACTCTGCTTAACATTTGGAAGGGTTAAATATTGTTTTGTCTGGGTTATTTTCAGAGGCTGAGATTCGTTTTGAATGTGTTTCCTTTTTTCATGCAGTGCTGGGAATAGATGTGAGACCACATTTATAGTGTTTAAGAATTTATAACGTCTGTTTAGAAAGGGTTGAGAATTTCTCGTCATCTTAATTCCAGCAGCATCTCAACTTGTGATGTCTTTGGGGGTCAAGGAGAAACGTAGGCAAACAAAAGTGAAATAACTTACACAGAATCATGCCAGGGAACACAGACAATAGGGTGGCGAAGGCCTGGGCGGGCGTGAGGCTGGTTAGAAGGGTCAGTGGGGGATAAAGGGGACATATGTAATACTTTCAACAATAAAGATTAAAAAATAAAAAAGAATCATTCCAGGAACCCAGGATAGAGGCACCAGGGGCCAAATGCAGTCTATTCCCATTCCTCTTCTACCAGGGACTCATCTTTTTCATCCCAGCACTTCTTTTAAAATGTATATGTGAATATGTCATCTATCTTTGTGTTTCTTATCGCAACTGGCAGTATAGTACTTCCCAGAGCTTTCCATGTGTCTTACTTTGTCTCCTTTGTTCTTCTTTATTTCATGAATAATAATAAAAAAAATCCCATTTATCAAGTTTGTACACGTGCTACATATTAATCTAAGCACTTTACACATCACATTTTATTTCATTGCCACGGCAGCCCCGTGAGTCAACATTATCATCCCTGTTCAGTGGGTTGGCACTGCCCAATAGAACTTTCCATGAGGATGGGAAGGTTTGTTCTGTGCCATTCATTACGGCAGCCACTGGTCACATGTGGCTGTTCAGCACTTGGAATGTGGGTTGTGTGACTGAGGTTCTGAAGTTTTCATTTTATTCTGTTTAAGTGAATTTAATTTAATGTACCTTATTGGAGAGCGCAGCAGAGTCACCAGTGTGTGTCAGGTTGAGGGATTAAAATTTCACCACTGTCCCCATTCTTTAGTGAAAAACATTTCACTTCTCAACTGAAGAATGGGCTATGGGCCCAAACCACATTGATGGGCACTCGGAGCGCAACACCCAGCCCCGCTGTGGATTCTGGCCCGTGGCCATCCCAGAATGCAGCACTGCCTGCCCAGGCAGCAACTTTCTTCTTCCCAGGAACCAGAGCAGAGCTTCTGAAAGGATCCTTCACTAAGAACGATTCACCTTGGGACCAAAATGAGTTCTTCCATAAAGTGGAGATATGAGTGTAAGTTGTAAAAGCAACAAGTAACGGAAGGTGAGACAAAGTAAACATGCCAACACACAATTGCCATTGAGCGGAAGAACTTTGATGCCAATAAAGCCAATCTTCCTGGAGAAAATAGAAGAGGGAGTGACACTGCCACCAGGCCCAGCCTGACCTCTGGCCACCCTCTGAAAGCGCCTGTGTCTAAACGCCCGTATGCTAAGCCTGGCGTTCCCTCATGCGAGAGCAGCACACCGTCTGGGGACGTGCCTGAGCAGCCTTTGAAAAGAATGCAGGAGTCACTGTCAAAAATAGACCCAGTGATGTCCCATTGGAAGAGACCCCTCCAGAAACGATGCGGGAGAGTGTGGCTTTGGTGCCGCTCCAGGGAGGGGAGTTCCTCAAACTCCAGGGACTTTTGTGTTATGTGAGTTTCTGGCATCCCTAATGTAACAGGGGGTGCCCCACACTTTGCATTGAGAAAGAGCTCCACAATTCAGAACTAATGTATATCCTGTAGCATATAACTAATAGGAAATATATCCATATTCCCTATTGGGAGATTTACTCTGAGAAATTGGCTCACGTGGTCACGGAGGCTGAGAAGTCCCACACTCTGCCATCTGCCAGCTGGAGACCCAGCGAAGCCAGTGCCGTAGTTCAGTCTGAGAGGCAAGGCCTGAGAACCAGGCAGCAGATGGTGTAATTCCCCATCCAAGGGCAGGAGAACGCCAATGTGCCAGCTCAGCAGTCAGTCAGAGAAGGGCAGTTCTCCCTTCCTCTGCCTTTTGTTTTATTTTCTCGGGATTGGGTGAGGCTCATCCACTCTGGGGATGGCAATTGCTTTCCCAAGTCCACTGATTCACATGCTAATGTCATCTGGAAACACTCTTCCAGACCCACCTAGAAATGGGGTTTAGCCAAGTACCTGTGACCCAGTCAAGCTGACACAGAAAGTCAACCATGGCAGTTTTCTTCTGCACAAATGGGTGTTTCAGTGCCCTCAAAAGGCCAGTCTGCCTCACAGAATCAGGAAACACCAAAGTCATGAAGCCCCTGCCTGCTGGTGTGGTCCCTGGGGAAGAGCCAGGCACCGGGGAGGCAGATTGCCCGACCCCAGCTGCTTCCTGTGGTCCCTGGAACAAATCTCTGCTTCTCTGCACCTGCTCGCTGGGCCTCGCGCGGGGACTCACCTGAGGAGCTGTCAATCCTGGGCTCTGCCTCTGGATGACCTGCTGAATCCAAGCTGTAGGAGGGGGGACCTAGCGGTCCCCACGCCCGCGAGCCTGTGGTGATTGAGTCACGCCCGGGTGGATGCTCTGATCCTTGCCAGTGACTTCACTGCCCTGTGCTCCTGGTCCAGCTGGAGACAGGGGGACTGCCGGGAGCCAGCGCCTTATCATCCTCCCAGCCATCTTTACCCATTTTCTCTGTGGGCCTTGTCCCAGGAGGTCAGCCCAGCAGATGAGAACACTTCTTAGTCTACTTTTGCCTCTTCCTACCTTTGAGACCCTCCAGCACCCATGGAAGCCCAGGCTGGGGAAGGAACAGGCAGCTCAGAGGTCAGGGGACTTAGATGCTGATCATGTGCCCGAAGTTGATTGATGTTGACTATGGACTTTTTATTGAAAATAATTGCCATTTAGTTTTTATAACATTAAAATATCTTTCTGTTCTTAATTAGCTAAAATTTTGGTGTTTTTATTTTTATTACCTGGGCAAATCAGAGAAACTTGTGCATTTATCAAATGCCTTCATGGAAGGATATAAATTGTCTCCTCTTTAGCCCATGTAAATACTTTTTTTCCATCATTGGATATCCTGATATGAAACCACCCTGGCAAATTTCTATGGAAAACCCTACTTGAGAGTGGGTTAGTCTTGTCATTTATGGTAGATTATTGGCTGGGTATGTTATTTCATGTGTTTCCATGAGTTTAATCAGCCTGGTGTGTGTGTGCTTCTGTGTTTTCTCTCTCTCTCTCTCTCTCTCTCTCTCTCGGTTTGGGCCTCCAGGCTGTGCTGGCTTCTTAGAATAAATGGTGGCAGGATTCTTCTTCCAACCTTTTATTTAAACAATGAAACTGTAAGTGACACTGGAATTGTTTAGTCTGTGAAAGTTTGAGACAACTCGGCAGGAAAATCATGTGTACTTAGCAGCCTTTACAGAGATGGTGGAGAGATGTTCTGGGGTCATTTAAAAATACTATTCCAAGGTTATTGATCTTCTTGGGTTATATACTAACTTGAATAATTTGGGGCAATGTTCATTTTCATCAGAAAATCATTAGTACTTTTAAATGGATTAGTACAGAATCTTACTTCATGTTTTAAATTGCTAAAACCCAATTTTTGCTACTTTTATTTGGGTTTCTCTACCACATTTGCCAAAGGTTGGATCTGTGTAAGCCTTCTTGCCCAAAAGGAACAATTTACTTGCACTATTGATTTCTCTGTTTTATAATTCACTAATTGTGCTCTTTTATCACTTCTTTCCTCCTGTATTTGCCAGGCTCTTTTTGTCTTTTTCTTTCTAACATCTGTGAGTCGACTACTTAATTCATGCTTTTATTCTATGTTGTTTAATAATGAATGGATTTGAGGTTCTGGGTTTGTCTATGAATATGGCTTTTCAAAGTTTGCAAATACTGCAGACGGAGGGAATCAATATTTATTGAACATATACCCTGCCAGGCGCGGTGCTAAGTATTTCGCTTCCTTCCTCGTGTGGAAAAGGGAAGGGCTCTTGCTTTGCCAGGCCGCTGGGAGACAGCCCGTGGACAAAGCGCCTGGCCCTCCGGAAGGGCTGATAATGGCAGCCGGTGCCTGGGTCACCTTATCATTGGAGTCTCCCATTTTGCACACGAGAAAACGGAGGCTTGGGGGGGGGGGGGGGGGGCAGGAGAACCAGTGAGGAAGAGGCTCGCTGGGGGTGGGTCAGAAAGCTGAGCACCATTGTCTTTGTTCCTGGTCCAGGAGCCCCATGGTTCCTCTTCCCCAGCTCCCATGAGTGGAGGTCTAAGCGTCTGCTCCCTGGCAGCGGGCCTCCACTGGGGCCTCACTTCCTTTCCAGTAGGAGCGGGGACAGGTAAAGTCCATGAAGTGCCCCCAGTTGCTTTGAAACTGGAAGAGTTGTTCCCTCCGTAGCTCTGCAGAGACCTTTGCCCTGCTTGCTTGTGTTGGGAGAGACCCCCATGTTCTGCCAAGCCCTGGGGGCAGCAGAGGGTTGGGCGTGGCGCCTCCACCCCAGGGCCTGGGCCCCAGTGCCCCTCTTGCCATCTGAGAGGGCTGGTTACTTGTGGACAGGCGGCCGGAGGTGGTGCAGTGAGTCATGGCCCCTCACAGGCCTGCGGGGCCTCCGTGTTTGCAGACATGCACACCTTTGCTTGCCCCTTGGCAGCTCCACCAGGAAACGTAGCTTACAAAGGGCTGGCAGGTCTCACAAGGCAGGGACTCCGCGCATTCATGGCTGTTGAGCAAATGAATCTATTTCCACTTTGCAGCCCTGCTCTCTGGGGACTTATTTGTCAATGTGAAAAGAAATGATACAGGCACAGTTAGCAAATTCCGCAAACGTGTGCGATGGAACTCCTGGCAGAGCTGCGGGGAGAGGATGCTGAGCATAGTCCCACCGACTCCTAGCAGGGGCAAACCTACAGGCTGGTGGGGCCGGGGCAGGAGCCAGACCTTTACCCAGTGTTTTCCCCAAGGACCCGGGGAGCCCTTCGGGAACTCTCACCGTCCTCATGTTTGCTGCGAGTTCCCAAAATTCTCCCAGACATCGCAGCACTGCCGCATCCTCCAGCGACTCTCTCTGAGGCCAGCAGGCGCTGTGTGTGTTGGAGGCTGGGGAAGAACTAGGCTCTGAGTACCGGCACCTGGGATGAGGGGCCTGGATCTTCTAGAATCAGTCAGGGAGCCAACAAAGATCTGAGTAGTGCACATCCTGCATCCTGAACAGCACGTGGCTGCACTTGAACCTGAAGCCCAGAAGGCCCAGGCTGACTTCTAAGAGACAACATTTCACACGGGAAAGTTTTATTATGTTTATAAAAGTTTCCTCTAATAAATGTATCCGATTCTTTTTTTTTTAATTTTTTTTTTTTTTTTACAGAGATGAAGGGAGAGGGATAGAGAGTTAGAAACATCGATGAGAGAAACATCGATCAGCTGCCTCCTGCACACCTCCCACTGGGGATGTGCCCGCAACCCAGGTACATGCCCTTGACCGGAATCGAACCTGGGACCTTTGAGTCCGCAGGCCGGCGCTCAATCCACTGAGCCAAACCGGTTAGGGCGCCGATTTTTTTTTTCTCTCATTTATAACCTCTTCATAAAACACTGCCTGTTAGGACCAGGATGGCTGAATATCTGATGCGGGGATCCTAAGACCTTATTGATGTTATCTCCTCATGCAGTTGCTTAGGTATTTATTGCCTGTCTCACAGTTACATATACACCCTGGTGACGGCTGCCTTCCTGATAGCAATAAATCCTGAAGAATGAGGGGAACTTTTAAGCACCTATTTAAGAATTAACCTCTACTTCTCAAAGACAAAGTGAGTGATGTCTTGGGTACCACTCTGGGACATAGAGGGATGAAAGTTGCTCATGGCTTTTCTCCCTCTTTCCTAAGGATTTATTGATGGGTAAAGCAGAGCCTCATTTCATCCTGGAAGGTGTGAGCAGATTTGACATCCAGCAAGGGGATGCAGGTAAGAACTCACCATCTTCTCTTCCGGCCATGGATCAGGGCAGGCTGCTCAAAGTCAGCCTCTGGATAGGGAGGTGTGGAGACCCTAAGAACTCTGTCCCAGCTGCTGAGAGGGGAGGCTGGCCCCTCAGTGCTACTGGAGATGGACAGCCCATGTCCAGTCTGCAGCCTGCACGTCAGCTCAGCCATGGGTGTGCAGGGCCATTGCAGTGAGGCATTATCGAAGAAAGGGAGAAAATGGACACAGGATTTAGTCTGAGCACTGGGTAGAGAGACGCATCCAGAAGATGGGAAGGAGAGAGAGACCGAGAAAGGGAAGCAAGTGTTCATTGAGCTTTTGCAATGCTGTGCTAGATACTGTGTGCATGTGCTGTTTCCTTTATGCCTGGTAACATCCCCACTCTATACACATATGCACAATCAAAGGGTCCAAGAGGCAAAATCATGTCTTTCATGTCACATAAACAATAAGTGACAGAGTTGGGTTTGAATCCAGGGCTGTTTGACTCCTTCCCACCCACCAGACAGCCATGGATCAAAGTTGTTGCTAAGAGGGCTTGCCTTGAAGAAGGCCACTGGGTGGGACCAGGAATGGCCGAGAGAAATCCCTGAGCCAGAAGCCCAGGAGTGGCGGGGTGGACAGGCTGAGAGAGGAATGTGGACAGGGAATTAGGAGACAGCACAATCAGACTCTTCTAAGAACAGACTATATCCTTAAAATGCCTGCCTACAAGTTATGCCTGCACCTGGACTTCCCCTGATGGAATCACGGTGTCTTGGGCTAAGTGGGTAGAAGCCTGTGTTTCAGTGTTGGGAAGAGCCCCCAGCAGCTAATAATCCTCCAGTTAGAGCTTCCCCTACGTGAAGATGGGACCTCTCTGAGGTCATTTCTGTGCCTGACACAAGATGGCATTCAAATAATTGATTGCGTTGAAGAGAAAGGAGGGAAGACTCAGGAGAAGGGGATGATGCTCATGCTCAAAGGGCTCACCATGACCTCCAAGGAGAAACTCAAGGCCTCATTGCCCTCAAGGGGGAAGAGGAGAGAACCCCTGTGTGGGCTAGAGGGGTCCTGACACAGGGAGAGGCTGAGCAAGTATTAACAAAGAAAAGCACAAATCTATTTGCTGACAACAAAAGACACTGTCACTTTAGTTCTGAGCATCTCTGGCAAAATGAGAATCAGAAGACAAGTTGGCCCACCAGCCCTGCCAAAGTCTGGCTGGCGCTCTCCTGACCTCCCTCAAACCACCATCACTTCCACCAACACCTCCACCATCAATCACCCCCACCATCACCTTCACATCAATCACTCCCACCATCACCTCCACCATCAGACACCCCCACCATCACCTCCACCATCAATCACCCTCACCATCACCTCCACCATCAATCATCCCCACCATCACCTCCACATCAATCACCTCCACCATCACCTCCACAATCAGACACCCTCACCATCACCTCCACAATCAATCACCCCCACCATCACCTCCACATCAATCACTCCCACCATCACCTCCACCATCAATCACCCCCACCATCACTTCCACCATAAATCACCATCACCATCACCTCCACCATCAATCACCCCCACCATCACCTCCACCATCAGACACCCCCACCATCACCTCCACCATCAATCACCCTCACCCCCACCATCACCTCCATCATTATCATCACCACCAGCTCCTCCTCTGTCTTACTTAGAACTGGCTCTAGTGAATCCTTCCTTCAATTCTCTCTCAGATAGAAAAAAATTACATTATTCAGAAGGACATATGTGGACTCTGGTAACAAAGACCTGCGAAATGCATGGGGTGGGGCTTCCAGTAAGCCTCTCACACTTGGTGTGTGTCCCCTTACAGGGGACTGCTGGTTCCTGGCAGCACTGGGCTCCTTGACACAGAACCCACAGCATCTGCAGAAGATCCTGATGAACCAAAGCTTTTCCCACCAGTATGCAGGGATTTTCTGTTTCTGGGTATGTGTGCTGCTGGGATGCTCCCACATGGTTTTCTCTGAGCACAGGGAATGGCTGTTTTGAATATTCTCTTGTCTTGGCATCCTGAGATGGAACAGGCACTAACTTATGTGTTAGTTACTTTGCATAGCTCCAAGAAAGGATGTGAGCTCATGATCTGACAATGCCTGGGAAAGATGAGAGTAAAAATGTTCTCATGTAAATTATTTTTATTTTTGTATTATTTATTCATTTACTTTTGAGAGCACATTTATTAAAGCTGAGGAAGGTGAAACAAGGAAGGGCTTAGGATAGAAGAAGCAACAGGAGAGAGCCTAGGTGGGGCTGCTCCGGCTCACTGAGAAATCAGAGAAAAGGGGCCTTGGGGACAAGTTCAGGGGGTTAATCCAGGACGAGCTGCCACTGCCCGTTGCTCCCCTGGTGGCAAGTCTCCTGGGGTCCCTTAGAGGCTAGAAGATGTGTGCCTGTGGGGGAAGAAGAGGAGGAAGGGAGAGGCATGGGCATGCTCCTGAGAGGGTGAGTGAGCGAGTCCTCATGTAAATATTTTTTAAAGGCAGATGCAATCACCAAAAGAAAAAAAGAGTCTTTGATCAAGAACCCTGTACATCATCAAGTTTTGTCTATATCTAGTTGGTGCCTTATCTGGTTATTTTTATCACAGTAGCTTTAGAATAAGTTGTAACATCTGGTAGGATGATTTCACCTTCATTATTCATTATTCTTTTCTCAGAAATATCTTGCTAATTCTTGCACATTTATTCTTCAATGAGAACTTTAAAATCATTGTGTCTAATTAAAAAGAAAAGCCATTGTGAGGCGAAGTGGAGCAGCAATAAATTTATGTATTAATTTGGAAAAAATTACACTTTTATTATGTTAATGATTCATTCCAGAAGCATGGTCTATCTTTCCATTTATTCAGAACTAGTTTTATACCCTTCAATAAAATGTTATGGTTTTGTTTTCCTATTGGTGCTGGACCCTTCTTGGTAAATGTAGTCTCACATATTTTACAGTTTGTAGCTTATGTGAATGAGATTTTCCCCCTCATTTCTAACTTCTAGATGTTGCTGAAAAGAGAAAAGCCACTCCTTATTAGATATTAAATTCTATCCAGCCACCTGACCACATTCCTTTATTTGTTCTAACCTTTTTCTTTAGTAGACTCTGGATTTTTTAGTTTTCTAATATTTTCTGCAAATAAAGATGATTTTGTCTCTTCTTTTAATATTTATATAAATTATTTGCCCGTGAGCCTTGTCTCTTAAGTTAGTACCTGACAATTTTGAATAAGAGTGACAAGAGCAAAACCCTGCCTTCTCTGGATTTTAGTTATAGATTTTCCTGGTGCTCTGTTCTTTAAATACACTGTTGGATTTAATTTCTTAAAAATTTGATTAGAATTATTGCATCTATGTAATATATAGAATTGGAGTCTAGTTTTTTTTTTTAAATGTTTGAGTTTTACTAACTTTTTAAAGTGAACCCATTGAGCTTTACATATTTTAATCTGACATAATTTGAATAATGGTGTTATTCATTGGTTATCTTTTGTTTGAAAGTAAAATACATAACAGATCCAGATGATTAAGGCTTTGATTTATATAATTACTTTTAGTTATTTTCATTAATTCCCATTTATTTTCTCTTGGTTAATTTTATGGTGATTTTTAAATTTTCTGAATCTTCACATTTAATATTTTTAGTCTTTTTTTAATCATAAAAACTTCGAGACTAGAAAATTTCCTCTGAGATCTTATTTCTGTCTATAGGTTTCAATATAAAATATCTTACTTTTATTAATTTTAATATAATATAATTTTAGTTTTGAATACATTTTATAGGGAGGTCATCTTTTGGTTGTAGAGTTTTAGATTTATGGTAAAATATAGTCCATAAATCTCTATGTTTGGAGAAATTATTGAAGTTTTATTTATGGTCAAGTCCATCACATTTTTGTAAATGCTTCATTTGCAGATTGTATAATCTACAATCATCTCTTTTATCTTGGCTTATTTTTTGTCTGTGTGATTTGTCAAATTCTAAAAGAGGTGATAAAGTTCCCCAAAGTTAGTTTGGAGAGTTCCTCTTATGCTTTCAGATATTCTGGCTTTATATTCTTCCTGCTATATTCATTAGTGCCTGAAGATTCTTATTATCTGGTTGGTGAAATAAAGCTTACAAATATATCCCTCTTTGTCACATGTAATGCTTTGGGCCTTCAGTTCCTCTTTATGTGATATTCATATTGCTATTCCAGCTTCCTGCTATTTACATTTCCCTGTTATATCCTTGCTCATCCCTTCATTATCAATTTCATTTTCACTATTTGATGTTTCTTATACAATTTAAACCTTACTTAAACCTATTGCTCACTATTGTTTCTCTCACCCTTCATTTCCTCTTATTGAAGACTTTTGTTCCCATTTCATCGTCATTCGGTAGGAATAGTTCCTTGAATAATTTCCTCAGATGGCATAAGTGTATTTTATTTGCTCTTTCTTAAGAATGATATTGCAATTGAGTTTAGAATTCTTGGATCACATTCCCTTTCCTTAAGACTCTATAAACATTATTCCATTGTCTTATAGGGTCCTATGTTGCAGAAGAAAAAATCCAGTGCTAATCTATGCTCTTACTTTGTATGTAACTGGTTCTTTCAGACTACAAATTAATAAGAGGCTCTTTCTCCCTTGGTTTCCTGAAATTTCTCTGGAATATGTCCAGATGATGCCTTTTTAAAATCAATCTTGCCTGGAATTCAGTAAGCCCTTTCTTCCTGAAGACCTGCTCCTTTTTTGCTCAGCTAAACTTCCCTCCATTATTCTGGGCATCCTCCTTTATCCTGTTCTCTCCTCCTGAAGTCCAGTTATTTGCATCCTGGGTCTTCTAACAAGTGCCCAGGTAATGCTGATGCTGCTGGGCCAAGGAGCACACTGAGGCATGAGCTAGAACCGTGGTCAGCAAACTGCGGCTCGCGAGCCACATGCAGCTCTTTGGCCCCTTGAGTGTGGCTTTTCCACAAAATACTATGTGTGGGCGTGCACGTACAGTGTGGTTGAAACTTCGTGGCCCATGCGCAGAAGTCGGTATTTTGTGGAAGAGCCACACTCAAGGGGCCAAAGAGCCGCATGTGGCTCGCGAGCCGCAGTTTGCCGACCACTGAGCTAGAAGATGCAGGGTTCAGTTGTGTCTGCACTGCCTCGGGGCTGCAAATGTTGGCTGAGTGATAGGAGTTAGGACAACTTGAGGCCCAGGCAGGACACGCTCTGCATGATCATATCTGATACAGGGGAAGTAAGTTGGTCAACATTACCAGTGTGGGAAGATGGGGTAAGGGTGACTTGTAAGGGGGAACCAACCAGAGGAGCTCCTTCAAGCCAGGACTCGTTCATTCTGCATGACTTACTGTGCTCCAGGCACTGTCTTAGGTGCTGAATGGAAAGGCTGTTATTGAAAAACAGTTTCTACTTTCAAAATTGCGATCTCACTTTCACAGTCTCATCTGATCCCAATTACAGCCCCGGGCGGCAGTTCTTACTCTTACCCCCATTTGACAGATGAGGACACTGAGACACAGAGAATTCAGTGTGTTACCCAATGTCTGTTGCTCAGATAACTAAAGACAAAACCAGGACTCAAGCACATTTCCACTGACTGGGTACTGTCTACCACACTTGGCTTGCCCATTAAACCCAAATCCAGATTGGGTTATCCTTCCAGGGCCCTCTGCTAAGAGCTGGGATTCGCTTTCCTTGGCGCTTCAACCACATTTCACGATCTCCTTCTAATAACATCCCTGCTGGCTCTCGACTTCACCCATCGATGCATCTTCATTGCAATAGGGACACGAATCCACGGCGGTGCCAGAACTGACCGCAGTGCCCGGGTTCATTGGTGACCATGAAAACATCTTTGATTTGTCTCCACTGGCACCTCTATCTTGGTCTCCATTTCTGCTTTGAAAGTGCGTTCTCAGACCCGACATCTGGGACACCCAGCTGTGGAAAGGCCCTGTGGATGGCTTCCTGTTATTGCCACACAGATGATAGATCGCATCCACCCAGGTTTATGTTGAGCCCACCTGTCGGAGACTTGCCTTCATCAAGGCTCAGGCCTGAAGCCAGAAGCCCTGCTGCTTAGCCAGCACAGGAGAGACCAGAGAAGAGACTCCAAAAGGCCGGCTGTATTATGGATTTTCCTCATTTGGCGATGTCCTGGGTGAACCATTAAGAGTTGAATGCTGAGGATTAAAGCAGTCTGTTTTGGAGAGGAACATCTGCTTCATTTGTGCTCTTAGCAGTAGCAGCGCCAGCCGGTGTCATTTCTGCTGCTCTGATGGCAGGGCCAGAGCGAGGCTGTAACTGCTCAGTCCTCCTGTGCACTGCTCATCCTGCGGCCCCTGGGCCTTCGCCCACGCTGTCCCTGCCATCTGGGATGCCTTTCCCGCCTCTTCTCCACCTGCCCAGCCCGGCCTCCTCCCGCCAGCCTTCAGCTCCCAGCAGGCTCTCCTTCGCCATGACAGCATCTGTATCTGCCACTCTGCTTTGTCATTCAGCATCTGCTTTCCCCACTGCCCTTCTGTGCCTGGCTACACCGGGAGAGTCTCCTGCTCGGAGCTCACAAAGGACTCGCCAAAATGAGGCCAGAGTTAGGAGCAAAGTCAGGCTAGAACCTAAGTCTCCTTCCTCTCTGCTGTGCTGTATTCTCCTTGACTAACTTGGTCTGTGACTCATTTTCTCCATCTGCCAGTGGAGATGACATCCCTTGTCCATCAACGTGGGCTGAGATTTGTTCTGGATAGCGTTCATTTTTGCCTTGTGGAGGTCATGTGGTGACGGTGGTTATCTTCTGACACAGGTTGCGGGTTGAGGAGCTCCCTTACCCCAATGCTACTGAGCCATGTATTCATCTCTCTTCCAGTTCTGGCAGTGTGGCCAGTGGGTGGAAGTGGTGGTTGATGATCGCCTGCCTGTCCTGAACGGGAAGTACCTCTTTGTGCATCCTCTCAACAACCAAGAGTTTTGGCCGTGCCTGCTGGAGAAAGCCTATGCCAAGTAAGGACGGGCTCGCCCCTCAGCCCAGGGCCTCGATGCTGCCCCGCCTGTGCAGCTGCTGGGCCTGGCAGATGCTTCCCACCAGCCGGCCCGAGACTATCGGCAGCTTTGCTGAATGCAAGCGATGCCCCTGGGAGCATCAGAGCCTTTGCACCTAGCTGGGCATCCTCCATAAACATTCATGGTGTGCAAGGCTACATTGGGCCCTTGGGAGAGACCCAGAGGCACCTAGCAAGGGATGGGTAGGGCAGAGCTGGACAGAGATATGCACTGGCAATGATATTATTGCGAGGGCTGGTAGAGAGCCCAAATAAAATATAATATCGTGGTCATAGTCTGCTGAGAGGACAAAGGAGAGAGAAAACAATTCTGACTTTCAGACTCAGAGTCAGTCTGAGGCTACACAGAGGAGATGGCATGGAGTGAGGCCTTGAAGGATGGGTAGATTTCAGCAGGGGAAGAAGTATGTGGGGGAGGCATCCCAACAGTGGGAATGATTCCAACAGAGAACCAGGGGAGGGACAGTTCAAAGTGAGGTCGGGTCGGTGGGGGCCTGCTGGGGCTGCTGTGGGATTGCATTTATGTGGGAGGTTGGGGGAGATGTTCAGTATGATATGGTCCAAACACCATGATGCGGTGCTGTCTCCTGGTGTTGACAAGCTCAGGGATTTACAAACACCCCAGTTCACGTTTTGCTTAGATTCTTTTGGGCTACCTTTATTCAACAGAAGTTCATTGAGCATTTAACCATAGGCCAGGCTCTGTGCTTGGCACTGGGTTATAGACTCTCAGACTGGTTCATGTAGATGTGTGTGCGAAAGTACCTGTGTGTGTAAGAAGTCATTTTCTAAAGAGCCACACAGGCGAGGGACACATCAGAGCTAGAAATCAACACTAGGAGACGAGAGCCAGAGGCCCCTGCCTTTCAGGAGAAAATGGGCAGTGGAGAGTGTTGCCTCATCAGGTTTCCTGAAGGTCATCCTGACCAGCCCCTCATGCCCAGGCTCTGGATGGTGATGTGACCCAGGTGTAAGTAGTTGGCCTGAATCTGCTGAGGTCCTTGGTCATGTGACAGAAGACATCATTTAGCAAGACTGAAGGCCAGGTCCAGTCCCATCCGGGGCCCTCCCTGAGGGGTGGTGACAGCGCAGACTATCGGGCCCCTGTCCTTCTGTGGGTCACAAGCTGAACAGTAAGACGTCTTGACACCTCTTTTTTTGCATCCTTCCTTTTGAGCCAACTTGTCAAAAAGGAAAGCAGCTGCTCTCTCCAGTGTAAAGAAGAGCTGTTGGTTAGGATTGGAGAGTGAAGCCCAGATCCCAGTCTAGGTTATTGAACCAATTCATGTGCTTGGGAGGTTCATTCACAAACACTGCCATTATTTTTCCAGTATGGAGTCAAGCCTCACCCCTTCGGGGCCTTGTAAAGGCGGGGTGGGGGGTGGGATGAGAGGGAGCTGGCAGCTCACAGGGAGAATCAGAAAGCCTGTGGAATGGAATGATGACTCTGACCCCATTTTGTTAACAGCTGACCTAAGGCAGTCAGTCATTCAGCTTGAAGAGAAATAGGCAACTGGACCCTGAATCCACATTCCACTCCCTAAAGAAATGTAGCCGAGGACAAAATGCTTCAACTATTAAGCTGTTTCAAAGCTTTCCCCTCCATCCAAAAGGGGAAGTAACAGAATGCAGGAGTGAGTCAGGTAGGATCACAGCCCATCAGAGCTGCAGCACTGCTCTCAGCATCCCCTGGACCTTCTCCTTTGGGATGTGAGGGGACAGGCTCAGAGAGGGGAGATGACTTGCCCAAGGTCACAGGGAGTTTGAGGCCACGCTGGACAGAGAGCTGTTCTCCGTCAGCACGTGCTTTTCCATCATCCCTTCATGCTGTCAGCCCTTTGGGAAAGGAGTTGTCTTTTTTGCTTCTTTGGTGCTCAGTGTCTGGCACATGGGGACCACAGCACGGACAGAGAAGCTATCTGTCCAGATGAGGTGGCCTTCTTTCCCTCCAAGGCTGTAGGCACTGACAAGTGAATACGTGCCCTCCAAACTTCCAACTCTCCTGTGGCTGGGAGTCTGGAAATGCACTGGTCAGGGCAGCCAAAGGGGGTGAAGGGAAGAAATCTGTGTTTGCAGATTCTTCCCCCTGAGGTCATAAAACAGAGAGGAGATTGGGGGCAAGATCAGGTGGGCTGCATGTTGTCCCTTCTAGAATCTCTGCAGTTAAGAATTGCAGCATTTCCGCATCCTCTCTGGCTCTGATTTAGACATCCGAATCCTTCCCTCTTTCATATAGTTTCTGGAAAGATAGACATGTCCCCAAAATGAGGCGGAAGCAAACGGATGAGAACAAGGCTCTCTCCGAATTCCTGGATTTGGGTGATGAGGCGCAGTGACAGGTGTGGTGAGCACAGTGCTCGCTATCTCTCCTTCCCCTTCGCTCTCCTGTCAGCAAAGGGGGCTAAGAATAGCTGCCATGTTCCTGACGCATCAGCAGGATCGGTGAGCCCGCGCTGGTGAAGCAGAGAGGTAGCGCCCGCGGGGACGGGCTGTGGGCACTGCAGAGAGCCAGAGGCTGTGAAAGGCACGGAAGGGGGCTGCTGGCCACGGGTCCTGTGCTTGCATCGGCTGTCTCGGTGGTGACTGCAGAACCATGCGGGTGCAAGACATCGGCCAAAGCCAGAGACCCTGAGGACGCGGGCCTGAGGTGACAGGGCAGAGCCCAGAAGCTGCTTTTCTGGGTGACTCTGCTGCAGCCCTCTTTGAAGCTGGGGGCTAGGGGAGAGCCATTGCAGGGCCCGAGGCCACATTGCTGGGCTCAGAAATGGGTCTCTGAATTTGCAGTGCCCTCAGCAAAGCCCTCCCCATCTAAGATCAGGAGCCACAATACCTGTGGGAAATCAAGAGAGGCAGACATTCACACCCAACCAGGCACAGTCATGGTCCAAGGCAAACTTTGCTGTTGACCAAGCAAACACCTCAGAGATAAGAGTCTGGTACCGGGCATAACCCTGAGTCTGAGAGAGGGAGAGAAAGATAAGATTTAGAACCAGTCTGATAACAAGTTAGGATCAGTCACACGGTTGTTCCCATGGAATGGCTATTTTGTTCCGTGTATCCTTCACTCTCTTTACTGAAAGACTTTTTCTAAGCCATCCAAGGCATTTTTGCCTGGGATGGTGTCCCGCTTACAGTGGCTGCTTGATACGTATTTGCTGAAGTGAATTTACGTGAATTCTGGGTGATACTCTGGAGGAGAGAAGGACAGAGGTGGAAATGGGGTGAGAAAGGAGTGTCTGAGGAGCCCCCAGACCTGATCCAGCCAATCTCATCATTTCCAGGTGAAAGGCTGAGGACTGGGATGCGGGGGGTGAGGTCTTGTCCAAGGTCGCAGGCCCATTAGAGGCAGCCGCAGGGAGGGACCCAAGCCCCGATGCCCATGTGACTTGCATTCCCAGAAAGAAGGCTGTGGTGGGAATGTCGCTGCCGCTGGCCTGTGAAGAGCTTGGTATCTGCACCTCCGTTGCCTCTGTTATCTCCCTGGTGCTGCTGGGTGATAAATCTGAGAATGGGAATGGGAAACCGGGTCAAGGTTTGGGCAATGTGAGAACAGAGGCTGCCTTGGCCACAGCAGGCATCAGGGCAGTTGCCCATGAGCTCTCTGAGGGCAGAAATGGGGTCCCGTTCACCTTTGAATGCTCAACACCTGGCATGACACCCCACACACAGTAAGCACCTACCACTATTGTTAAACTGAACAGGAAACAGTGGATACTCATCATAATAATATCCAGTACTTATTAGGACTTTCCATGAGCCAGGCCCTAGGTCCAGCCCCATGAGGTTAAGTAACTTGTCCAGGGTCAAGCAGCTAAATACGGGGTGAGGTTGGGATCTGACCCCTGGCCTGCTCCAGCACCTGCACTCCTGACCTCTACACAACACTGCTGCTCGCGGGGCTGCCCAGGCCCCGGGAGACCAGGGAAAGGATGCGGCTGTGGGTGGCAGATGCCTAGAGTCTCCATCCAGGTGAATGAAAGGTGGCTGGCCATGGTCCGGGGTGGACAGACAGTCCATCACCTGCAGAACATGCAGCAGTCAGCTGCACAGCCTCCCTTTCTGAGTGTCTCACTGATGGCACCACAGGGTTTGGGTCTGACTTTCTCTCCCAGGTTCCATGGATCCTATCAGCACCTGCACTACGGCTACCTCCCCGATGCCCTGGTCGACCTCACGGGAGGGGTGGTCACCAGCATCGACCTGCACTCCTCCCCTTCTGACCTAGTGACGATGGTAAAGACCGCTGCCAAGGCAGGCTCCCTGATGACCTGTGCCACGCCAGCCGGGGTGAGTAGACCAGGAATCCTTCGCATGGGTCCGGGCTCTCCTCACCTGGTGTGTTCAGCCACTGGCTCCTTCAGCTAGGGAGGGAGCGGTCAAAGCCACCTACTGGAGCACAGTCGGACATGCTGTACTTTACTGAGGTCACGTCCTTCAATTCTCAAGACAGCCCTCCCTCTGAGATAGGATTGCAGGATTCGCTGACAGAAGAGGAAATGGGCTCAGAGAGGCCAAGGAAAATGCTCCCTGTCACACAGCCAGCAGGTGGCTGAGCAGGGGTTCAGATGCTGCTTTCTGACCTCAAAGACTTTGCCTATTACTTCCCCGTGACCAGAGGCAATGGTTCCAGAGTGAGTGGCTGGGGGGCCTTTGATTCTCAGTGTTTCTTTACAAAGGCAGCCTCTCAAAGGCAGCATGGCTCCTTTTGAAAAGTTTGGATGAGCCTCCAAATTATTAGTCTGTTCTGAGATGGCCAGCTCCCTACTCACAAGGTGAGGATGCCTCCTTCACTCTTGAAACATGTGGACTTTGAGCCGCACGTTCCTAATCTGAAACACCACCCCAAACTAAGATGCACTTCAAACCCCAGTCACTCGCAGCAGGGTGGGGAAGCCCAGCAGACGGGTTCCCTGCCCAGCAGATGGGTTCCCTGCCATCTCAGGGATGGCGAGTGACTGGGGCAGCAAGCAGCCCCCCCTCCCAGGTCCTCAGGCTCTATCAGTCATGCAGTGGGTGGTCTCTTGAGGTATGAAATGCCTGGAGCCTCAACCACCCAGCAGCCTTCAAACTCCACCTCTAGAGAAGAGTCCCAGGAATGCATGCCCTCCAGCCGGAGTCCGTAGGACACTTTTCACACAGGCCGGCTGCGGGCGGCGTGCAGGGCCCATGAATTGTGCTGTTCTCTCTCTCGGGAGAACCTGTGAAAGTCTAAGGCATGGTCTGCTTTTCTCCCGTGAAGCCGACAGGGGAAGCCAGAAGAATGGAGAGTGGCCTGGTGAGCCAGCATGCCTACACCGTGACTGGGGCCGAGCAGGTAAGGCTCCATGGGCTGGGCCCCATGGCCTTGCTCCTTGGAACAGGCGTCAGAACCACATGCCTCAGCAGGCCCAGCAAAGCTGCAGTGAGTGTTTATCTTCTTACCTGTGGTGGCGCCCATCACAGATAGCTCAGTCCTTCTATTCGTCCAGAAGCTCTGGTGCCCAGTACCCTCACCCCCCAGGGATCCTGCTCTCCTTGAGGGCTCTCGGGCAGGGTGAGGGGCTAGCTGGACTGGGGATTACCCTTAAAGAAAGCAGAATGAACTAGCCAGCTGACTCTAGGAGAAGTTTTGCCCTGAAGAGTTTTAGTTGTAACATACCAACTAAACTACTGTAACAGATGCTCCAAAATACAGGGCTCAAACAAGGTAAGGTTTGTTTTACTCTCAGATAAGCAGGTGGTCCGAGAGCTAGTAGGTGGCTCTGCCATGCACAGCATTGGACTTCCACCTATGAGCCCCGGGCAGCTGCCTCAGGGCCCCTCCTCATCTGGCCAGAGGAAGAGAAGGAGGCCAGGGGAAAGGGATGCATCCTTTTGGGAGGAACACATTAGGAAAGGCACACTCTCAGATGCCATTAACCTGAACATGTGGCCACACTGAGGCGCAGGGATTCTGGGGAACATACTGTCTAGCTGGACCGCCACATGCCCGGCTGGAACTTTATTCCCATGGCAGAGGGCAGGGTGGCCACAGAGGACAGTCTTTCCCTTGATATAGAACTGACTGTGTGCACAAAAACATATGTAATTACTGTGTGCAGCAGCATCCGGTCCAGAAAATACTACTAAAGTCCAGCTCCCTCCATTCATAAGTGAAGAAGTGGAGGCCTGTGAGGGGACGGTCTCTCACAAGGTCACGCAGCTACTTGAAGTGGCCGGGCCGACACCACAGCTCCTCGGTGCCCATCTACGCTTATCATGCAGCCATGTGGTGACAGCGCTTCCTGGCCTTGTGATGACTTCCCACAAAGGCTCCCCATCTCTGTACTTCCCACAAATCCCGAGGTGTAATACTGTCTTCCAGGCCCTACCAGATAGCATCCCAAACTCCAGGGAACATTTTTCACGGGCATTTGTGAGCCAAGGAAAGCGGAGTGCCGGGTCTGTTTCTAGCATGCTTTCTCCTGCTGGCCTTCCCTCTCTCTGTATCAACCTGTCTCTCCTGTCCATCGACCTAAGGCCACTTGCTCCATTGTTTCATGTTTTGGGGAGTGTTCCAACCCACAGAACAAGGACAAAATCTTACGTCTCCCTAAAGAAATCAGTAACAGCTACTTCCTCTGCACAGTACCTGGGAAACAGTAGGCACCCACCATGCTAGTTGGATCAACCGATGTGTGCCCTTGTATGAGTGAGTGAATGCATTTGTCCTAGGCCTATGAAGGTGACATCATTGCTCCTTCATCACAGATCATACGTGATGAGCTCAACACACATTTCCCACGAGCAAGGAAGGGGTTGTCCTGATACACCCAGGCCAGAAGAGATCCCAGTCCCAGTGGCTCCAGACTCCCTTCCTCTGAATTCTCCCAAGCCCTTCCCTGAATTCTCGGTAGGGACAGCCAATACCATCATCAAGCTTGGCTCTATGTCCAGGCACTGCTCCCCACACCTCCCCTGACCCAGATGTGGACAAGTTTGGGCTAGAGACAGCAAATTGGTTTTCTTATGAGTCAAACTTGATCATTGGCCATGCTGCCTGGATGGCTGTATGGACAAGACTTTGGCACTGCTTCCAGATCTGGGGCAAGAGCTGTGATTGGTGATGGTATCTGTGCTGGGCATGGAATGAAAGAACCATGGTGCCTGCATGATGCACCTGCCATTCCTGGACCCAGCCCTTGTTATTCACTGAGACAGTCTTTGTTTCTCCTCTGAACACAGGCGAGAAGGGACTTGAGTGTTGAGAGGTCCAGATGGCCATGGATGTGAGTCCCCACAGAGGCTGGGCATGGCGACGGCAGAGACCATCAGGTTATAGAGTGGCATGTACACACCAAGGGCCGAGGGAAGGGAGGTGAACTCAGGACTCAGGCTGTGGGGGGTTAGGCTCCAGATGATTCCTTTCACTATGTGAGTGTTTGCTCCCCCACAGCACACACGTTGGGTTGTTCCTGTAATACAATAAGTGGTCTGAACAGGATACTCCTCCCCCCTCCGAAGGCAGGTGATGAAGACTTTATGTCCTGTAGGCACTGCCCTGCCCCTCTGTGGCTGCTGACACTCCCCAGCCTGTGCTGTAAGGAGCACCAGCCTGGTGAGATCCCCTGCTTGGAGATTCACGATGGACATTAACATTTTAAAGGCTCTGAGAAGGCCTGTATTAGCCAAACAGGTACAGCTTAGTGTTAATCAACCTTGAAACCCTTTTCTAGGAATAAGCATTAACAGCCTATGGGTCTACCATTTGAGAGAATACATTTAAGGAAATACTATCCTAGGATAGAGAACCTGGATTAGCTCTCATCTCAAATGGACTCCTGAGCCACCCGGCCACGGTCCATGTGATCCCCAGGAGGGCACTGACAGGAAAGGAGTAACAGAGTCGGACAAGGGGCCAGGAACTTGCCTTAGTGAAAATTTCTCCTCCAGAAAGAGGAGGTTATAACTCTCTGCAAGTGTGAAGATTAAACCAGCCCATAAATGCCCTGTGCTTTTTAATCTGCTCATCCTCCCTCTGGGCGGGACACGGACAGGAAGATAAATGAAATTGGCATTTTTTATTATGTACCTAGCTTGGTCCATGACTCCCCTGGGCAAGGGGTGAGTGTTTATCTGCACGCCTCATTTAGCCCTCTTCCAGCCCCCTCCAGTCACTGGCCACTCTTCTCCCCTGGGCCCAGCTGAGCCCTTGACTGTCTGTTAGGCACTGAGGGTGGCTCATTAAGCTCTTTGGGCCACGGGGCAACCATTACTCATTCCTGCTTTGTGGGCACCACCAGGTGCTGGCAGTCAGTACATTGTGTGCAAAGCCTGGGGTGCTCTGGGGTAGGGCAGAGAGGGACAGGAAACCTGGGTTTGAGCGAGGAGCCCCCTACCCCCATCCCGTGTGGCATTTAAAGCCAGAGCGCCTTCCACTGCGATGCCAGCCAAAGATAGAAGCAGACAAGGAAAAGCCACAGAAAAGAGCATTGCTCAAGCTAGGGTCTTGGAACCTTGTCTCACTGCATTGCTCTGTCATGGCAATGCTTTACTGGTGATCCCATGGGCCTTGGCCAGGTGCTTAGGTTATATGTGGGGTCAGGTTCACAGCCACATCAAAGAATGGGCTGGGCACTGGAGCAGCTGTTCCTTTATTTCTCCCCCCACCCCCCCACCCCGCTCCCCCCTCTCCCTCCCTGGTTCCGAAATTAAAAGCCTGGGCTTTGGAGAGTGACTGTGGCTAGGGTCCGAATTCTGCCTCTGCCGCTTACTCTATGGCCTTGAGAAAGTTGCTTAACCTCTCTGATGCTCAGTCCCCTCCTCTGCAAGACAGCGATTGTGTGAAAATCTACCTGAGAGGATTGAAAGATGTAACGCACATCAGGCATTTGGCCAGAGCCTGGTTCCAAGTACACGGGTTCTTTTCCATGTGACGATATTCAGCTCAGCCTCCTCTGACCTGGAGTCATTGAACAAGTCCGCCCCCTCCGTCACCCCCAGGCCCCTGTCTCCGCAGACAACATTAGCACAGATCAATATCCCAGCTACAGCTCGATCATACTTTAATTTCTCTCGCCAGGCTGAGCGCTGCTGGATCCGGGACTGTAGGTCCAAGGGTGCCATTATTTCATTGTAATTTTTCAATAGTTCTGCCCTCTGGCCTCGAGTGGTCTGAAAAAGCAAATGTACCAACTCCTTTTCTGGGAGTGAGTGATGAGGAGGTCCCCGGGGGAAAGGCAAGGCCAAACCACCGAGGCTCCCTGCTCCGGAACAGAGATAGAGGCACCGGATGAGGCAGGCTACACCCCCCACCCCCCATCTCCATTTCCAAGTGGTCCCAGTTTTGCTCAACTCCTCCTCCTCACTCAGGACAGCACTGTGAGACGCAGCACTGCTCCCAGTGGGCGCCTGGCAGGGAAGCAGCAAGGACTGGGGTAGAGATGCTGGCTGTGGCAGGGCCTGGAGGAAGCTCGAGACCCACACGTCCTTCCCTCTGCAGCTGGAGGCGGCATCCATGCTATTTGCCTGCTGTTCAATCAGCTCACCCCAGTTCTGGGGTTCAGTCGGAAGGAACGATGACGTGGCCCCTGCGCGGCGAGGTGCTGAGCAGAAGGAGCCATGTTCTCCTCTGCCTCATTCCAGCTCTGTGCAGGCAGCAGGCATTGATTTTTATTTTTCCTTATTTATTTTTTTTCTGGCTGCAGCCAAATGAGGTCAGAAGCTAAATTAGTCCTTGGAGGTAAAGAGCAGCTGCATCCATATCCCCTCTTTCTGCTGACTTTGGCTGGAGGCTTCTGACGGTGTCCTTTTCTCTTCCTTGCAGATTCAGTACCGGAGAAGCTGGGAAGACGTCCTCCGCCTGTGGAACCCCTGGGGCCGGGACGAATGGCGAGGGCGCTGGAGTGACGGGTACGGTTTCCGAGAACCTCTCTATCTGTCACTGAGCCCCCTGTTCAGAGAGGCCCCTGCCCCGTGGAGTCTGTCTCCCCTGCTGTGAAGCTCACTGCAGGCTTTTCCAGATCACACCTGTCTGACTGTCAGTCCATCTCACACTCCCATGAGGCCACTCACCAGACATCTATTAGGCACTGTGTCCTGTCTGTGCTACGTGCACTGTTGGGTGGGTGCTATGGGACATATACAGATGACAATGTCCAGTGTCTAGAAGGTTGCAGTCTAAGCTTTGGAGCCTATACCCAGAATTGTTGAAAACATGAAAATAGAAAGTGGAAGCAGTGCAGGAGCCGAGCTCCACCTGCCAGGAGAGCGGAGAGAAGGCCCTCACCCCATCAATGGGACTGCTGGGATTCTGTTCTGATGACGCCGTGTCCTCGGGGTGAAAAGACTTCTTTAGGGGGGAGGGGGTTAGGGAACTGAGACAAAGGTCCGGATGGATATCGTTTTACTCAGTCCGGCTGGGTCGACGCCCTGCCCTACTGACCCGAACTCACTGTGGCTGGTGCCGGACCAGCACCTTGCTAAGAGTAGGAATGGATGGAGCTGAGCGGGTCTCAGATGCCCCTGCTGGCCATGCCCAGGGCAGCTGCTCTCAGACCCAGCTGACTGTGGGGATCCAGCTGTGTGGTCAGAGGTTCCCAGAAGCTGGGCTGGCATTTCCCAGCTGCCAGGAGGACTAGTCCCTGAGCCCCACCCCCTTGCTGACTGGAAATGAGATGATGGTCCTGAGGACAGAGGGACGGTGACACTTACTTGCTGCCCTGGGCGGCTGGTGGGGCCCAGCTTGTGGCGTTCCTCTGGGCCCATAAAGGTGTTCCTCTGATCATAAAAGTGTTGATCCACATGGATCAGCGGCCACAGCAGCACTGCTGGTGGGGAGGGGGATTGGGGTGTGGGGAGGAGACGGGAGTGGGAGAGAGAACAGGATTTGAAAAACAATACAAAGCATTCAGACAAACAGAACGAACCTCCAACAAGCAGTGAAAGTGCAGTGAAAAGTGAGTTCCAGAAGGTGAATGCACAGGTGGCCAGTGTCTCAGCCCCAATTTTCACCCCACTTGCCACTCCTGCCCAGAATGTGGTCCAGTGGCCCCAGCCAGGCTGTGACAGGGACTGTGACCCTTTGTGAGCCCCAGTGGCTGACAGGTGAGTCTGCACAAGGTGGCCCTCAGCCACTGGGAGATGGAAATGCCATCGGGGTAGAGGGTAGGATCGGGGTAGAGGGAAGGAAAGCAAGGGAGAGAGGGGAGAGGGAGGAAACAAGCCACATGAATTCACAGCGTAGACCTGGGTGTGACCTCAGATGCCCCTGGTGCACTGGGCTGCCGAACCCCCTCCACAGAAGAAGAATGAATTTGCAAAACCAGGAGCCACTGAACAATGTTTTCACTCTGACCCTTTCTCCATTTTTTCTTGCCTCTATTCTTCCTTCCTTCCCAGGCCTACCCTTTGCCCTTTCCAATGTAAATCCTTTCCAATTCTCCTTCCCAATCATCACCCCAAGCTGCCAAATCAAGTCTAGGGGGTGATACAATTAGCCAGAGTCCCTGATTCCCATTTGGCTATGGGACTAGGAGGGGGGAGGAGCCAATGTCAATGACAGTCCCCTGGGTAAGGAGGACAGGTGTGAATGTGAATTCCTGAGTTGCTGTTTTATTGCCCAGGCCTCCCAGGCTAAATATCAAATGACCAGGGGAGGCAGCAGGGGACACTGGATGTCAGGGATGGGAAGCCTCTGGTGGGCGGGCACATGTTCAGGGAAAGCTTGAATGAGGTTGAACTTGAGTTCAGCTTCCAAAAGCAGGTATGACTCCCTTCGGAAGAGATCCCTGCGTAGGCACGCAGGCCACCTGCTGAGCCAGGAACATTTACAGTGTGTTCAAGGCCCACAAGTTGGCCTGGGGCAGAGGATCTGGAGAGAGAGGTGTTGGGAGCTGGGGCTGAACCCAATGCCAGCTTAGACGTTTGGATTTACACCCTCTGAAGGCCTCTGAGCAGGGAGGGATGTGTACACCGCAGGGACCGGCTCTGTAGGGTCAGGTGTTGGGGCTGAACATTGAGGTTCGCCATTTCCCACCAGAAACCAGGCTGGAAGGAAGCGGCAGAACTGCATGAGCACTGTCTCCACGCAGGTGGTCTATTTCCTCTCTCCTCTTTAAAGAATGGGGGCGGAAGGAGAGAGCCGGATGGTCTAATCCCGGCCACAATTGAAATTTCAGTCGCACACACTGAAGGCAAACTCGCATGAATCAATAGCGTATTGATTTACACTACATTTATTTTCCCTTACACACTGCAGAAAATGTAATTATCGCTTAATTATAAAATTGCCATTTTACAATAGCACATCTGACTGGCTCAGCCTGCAGCCAGGACCTGAGGGGTGCTGCCTGCCTGGCTCTCCCAGCACAAAGGTGACCCGGCTCCCTCGGCCTTCAAGGAAAGCCACTGGCAGAGAAAGGTCTCCTTACCCGCCTGTGCCTCTGGGCCTGTGGCCCCTGAGCATGCCTCCCCATTGAGGAGTGGGCTGAGGAGGGGGCAACCTGTTCCCTTCTGCCTGGGAGGGTCTCCTCCTTCACCTCAGGTCCTAGGACCAGCTTCAGGAACACAGTACCTCATGAAGTGGATAATTTTAATTATTAAGCAAGCAAACAATTAGTGCATGCCTACTGTGTGCCAAGGCATGTGTTAAGCCCCATGATGATAGCATTACCATGGTGAGCAAGGCTCACTGAGCACGTGGAACTTGGAGGCCAGTGAGGGGACAGTCAATCAAGCTTCTTTGGAGAAGACCATAATGCTGGGAAAATAGAAGGAGGCAGGAAAAGAGAAAGACCGGGTGTGAGAGGAAATGACTCCATAAAGGAAGCCCTAGGCAGGGGCGTACAGGAGCCGAGAGGGCTGGTGAGCCATCGCTCATAAGGCGGCTGGGAGTCAGAGCTGACTCAAAGGCAAGTAACACACAGACAGTAACAAGCAACACAGGGTACCCTGTGCTGAGACAGGAGTGGGAGAGGGTGCCATGGAGCTCAAAGGGGGGGGGGGGGGCGGCCATTGACCCAAGGTGGAATTGAAGTGGCAGAGGGGGACAAGCAAAGCTTCCAGCCAAAGTGCCTTTTAGGAGGAAAGAAAAGTGAAATTCCTGGGTTACAGGACAAAAGGGAGAAAGACTATTACAGGCAGAGGGAGCGTCATGGTGAAGGCCAAAAGGCAGGAGGGAGGATAACGGGATTTCTAAGGAAGGGATGACGTTCATTCTTGCTGGAGTGTAGCATTCAAGGGTGGGGGTAGGGAAACAGGTCAAGTGCTTGAGTCAAGCCGGAGGGTTGGGCAGAGGTCAAGGTGCTGTCTCAGGAGTTTGACCTTCATCATGAGCATCAAAGGCAACCGCTGATGTGTTCTAAGCGGGGAAATGCCATACTCAGATTTTTGGTTTAGAAAAATCATTTTGAGGTCAGTGTGGAGAATGGGTGGGAAAGTGGGCAGGGCTGAGCCCAGGGAGACCAGTTAGAAGACGAAGAGGGAGATGGGGGTCTAGGGAAACAGCCATGGGGATGGAAACATGTGGGTGGCTTTGGGAGGGGTTTGGGAGCTGGAATCACGAAATCATTATTATGAATGACTGGATGTTCTTGCTCGGGCACCAGGAGGAGGCAGAGGGGAGTCCGGTTTGGGACGAGGTGATTTCGAGGTCACTGTGGGGCTCTGGTGGAGACATGGGATGGACCCTGGCATGTATCCACCCAAAGCGCTGAAAAGAGGGTCGGGCTGGCGAAGGCCTGGAAGCCCTCAGCACATAGAGAATGACTGATCCTGTCATGAGGTGGAATGACACCCTCCACTTGTACCCGGGCACCGGTGGAGGCCTGGGCCACGGGCCCCTGCTGAGCCACGTGTGGCTGAGATGGAACGCTCTGGGAGGCCTCACCCTATGGTCTATCTGTCCACACCCAGGTCTCCGGAGTGGCAGGAAACCCAGGACCCACGGAAAAGCCAGCTGTATGAGAACAAGGATGATGGCGAGTTTTGGTATTTACTCTTCTTTTAAAATTGCATTTTGAATCTTTAACAGTTGCCCACACCCTCAAGCGTTCCCCTTTCCCTAAAGTTTTGTGAGATTAGAGATTGGCTTTGCAGAGAGCTGTGTAGAGGGAGCCTTTTTCTCAACCGAGACAGATGCTTTGAATGGGCAATTCCTGGTGTGTTCTCGCTTTGGGTGATAGATGCTTCATCTCTGAAATATTGGAACTTCCAGGAAATGTTAAGGGTAAAAGGAAAATTGGCACTGGAGCTTAGAAAACAAGTTTCCTGGAAGCTGGGGTGCATGGTTTTCATGCCTGTTATCTCCTGTGCTTCTTAATAAATATGTTTTTACTAGAGGCCCGGTGCACAAAATTTGTTCACTCGTCGGGGGGCAGGGGGGGGGGGAAGGGCATGATCCCTCAGCCCTCTAGCAGTCTGGGAGCCCTTGGGGGATGTCCAGCAGCCGGACATCCTTAGCGCTGCTGCAGAGGCCATGAGCCCGGCTTCTGGCTGAGCAGTGCTCCCCCTGTGGGAGCGCACTGACCACCAGGGAGCAGCTCCTGAGTTGAGCATCTGCCCCCTAGTGGTCAGTGAGCGTCATAGCAACCAGTCGTTCTGCCATTAGGTCAATTTGCATATTAGCCTTTTAATATATACGATTGATTTCAGAGAGAAAGAGAGAGGGAGGGAGAGATAGAAACACCAATGATGAGAGAGAATCATTGATCAGCTGCTTCCTGCACACCCCCTGGAATTGAGCCTGGAATCCTGGCATGCGCCCTGACTGGGAATCGAACCAGTGATCTCTTGATTCCTGGGTTGATGCTCAACTGCTGAGCCACACCCCACTGGGCTCTCCTGTGCTTCTTGTTGGGAGCTGGGGGCTCCCCAGTTTTCCTGCAGGAATTCCAAAAGAGTTAGCTCGGTTCGTCGCCCAGCCCAGGCTCTAGAACTCACAGTCAGACACTGGTGTCTCCGCCCAGTGGCTGTTGGAGGACTAGATGCTGTGAAAACACATTTCTGGCCGTATGCTCTCATCTTAAAGGAAAAGAGGGACATTTCTCTGAGGGGCTGTCTGGTTTACTTAGTGATACAGAAAATGAGATTTAGCATATGGGAAAAGGAGGCAGGGTCTAAGTAATTAAGAACCAGGGGGACGAATGTAAATTAGAAGGAAAAATATTCCAGTATCTCCACTTTAATCACAGCATGAGGTGAGATGTTAGGTGCTGAATTCATTTTATTCTGATGATAAAAACCTCGACAATGAAATTGGCAAAGGGCCCCAGGGGAAGGTGGTTTCCTCGCAGCGCAGAGGACTCCTGGCAGAGGGACTGGCCGCCGTCCTGCTGGCCGGGAGCAGCCTGGCAGTTTGATCTGTGGGTCAAGGAGATGGCAGTCAGCGATCCAGCCTTTGCCAGGTGACATGCAAAACCCAGGATTTGCCTCTGCCCTTGTCCTCCCAGCCACGGCAGGGAGCGGAAGAGTACTTGACCTCAGGTGACCCAGAATGAGAAGGAGGCTCTGATATTGGGGTAGAGAGTGGTAAGTCAGTGAACACTGCAGCTGGCATGCAAAAGTACAGGGAAGTGAGGGGAACCCCCACCCTGGGGATAAAAACAGTGCTCATTAAGTGACGTGTATCTATTTTTAACAGGATGTCGTGTCGAGATTTCCAAGACAACTTCTCCTGCCTGTATATATGTAACCAGTTTCCAGTCAGCCTTGACCTGGGACACATGCCCCATGAAAGATGGTCCCAAATGATGTTTAAGAACCACATGACTCCAGGGAACACCACAGGTAGTTATGACTGGTCATGATCCTGGCAGGCGGCATGCTGCCAGCCCTGGCCCCATCCTAGTTTCAGCTTTGAATGGCTCTTGATTCTGACCCATCAGCCTGAAGTTGGACGGAGAGGAATTTGTCAGCCTAAAGGGATAGCAGTACTTCCCCAAGGGAAATGGGTGCTGGTGGGGGGGGCAGGAGAATCTCAAATGTGTCTCCTGGCCTTTCACTCTCCCACTGTCTCCCAGGGCCAGAATAGGCCCACTGCTCCTCAGTCATTTCCAGGACAGTGGGAGGGCTAGGTTGAACTCTGTCCTTGCCCCGTACTGGCTTTGTGACTCTGGGAATGTTGCTGGTGTCTGTCCTCAGCCCCCCCTCCTGTGAACAGTGGGATCGGTAATCCCTGTCTGGCCCTAGACACCACGAGCACCACCCAGGCATACGGGCCGGCGTGTCCTGCCGCAGGGCACTGATGCAGAGGAAGCCCTCGGAGCCTGGCTCCGGGCTCCGGAGATAAATCATGTTGGCCGTGACCCTGGGAGCGTCACCTACTCTCACTGCACTCCCACTCCCCACATGTGACAAGGATGAGTGGGACAGCTCCCTGTGAGGGTGACCCTGAGTGTGCTTACATATCCTGCATAGGAGAGGCTGTGAAACAAGTGTATGTGTGTGTGTGTGTGCATGTGTGTGAGTGTGGGAGGTGTGCATGTGCATGTGTGTATGTGTGTGTGGGGGGGTGTGGGTGTGCATGTGTGTATGAGTGTGTGTGGGTGTGTGCATGTGTGTGTGTGCATGTGCGTGTATGATTGTGTGTGGGGTGTGTGTATGTGGGTGTGTGTGGGGTGTGTGTATGAGTGTGTGTGTATGTATGAGTGTGTGTATGTGAGTGTGTGTGTGAGTGTGTGTGTGTGTGTGTGTGCACCTAGACATGTGCATTCCCTCTCCTTGGCACCTGCCTGTCTTGAATGGGTTGCTGAGAGGCACGCCCCAGGGGGTCCCTCTTTTCAACCTCCAGGCTCTTCACTCTGCGGGTCTCATCTCTGTAGTTGAAGAAACATTTTCACCAAGTGGTGAATGTACTTCTCCTCCTTGTTTTTAAAAGGAGACTGAGGCTCACAAAATAAAGAAGCTGATTTCACAGCTAGTAACTATGAACACTGGGGCCCGGGCCTTAGGTCTTCACACCCAGAGGTTCTAACCACCAACCACCCCCAGGGCTCTCTGAACTCGATGTCCCCCCCCGTCACCCCCCAGTCCCAGGAGCCAGGAGCTGAGCTGAACTCCAGCGCCAGCTCTTTCTCTTGCAGAAGGACTTCAGAGGGACACACAGTACCTCTTCTCTGTGCCCGAGAGCGTGGAAGGCAACAATGTCATCGTGTCTTTCAACATCAGGCCACAAAATGTAAAGGCAGAAGATGGGAAATTTCCACTAAACTTCCAGGTGTACAAGGTAAGGCCGCCTGCTTCAGGGTTTGTCCTTTCAGGACATTCGTGTCCACCTGGTGGGGTGGCAGGGTGGGGGGTGGGGGGGTGGGGGTGAGAGCAGCCAACCAGGCTAGGAGATGTCACTAAACCACAGCCTCAGAGATACAACCCAAAGGGGCTATAGAATTCATCCGGTCCAACTCTAAACTTGCAGGAAAACCTGACAGAGAGAGGATTAGACTTGACCACGTTTACAGTGGGACACACCCGCCCACACCAGCATTTCCTGGTGTGCCGCGCTCTAATGCTTGTTGCTCAAACCGTGGTCCAGGTTCTGTCTGACCTCCAGGCCCTATCAACGTCTTGCTTTTCCTCCCAATTTTGTCATCATTGCTGTGATGAGTAACCACATCTGGCTGAGCTGACAATAGGCGAGTCTCCTCCTCTCAGGCACCTGCTCCCCTCCTCCAGGTCCTTCCCTTCCTGCTCCCCACAATGGGTTCGCTTTCCCTTTTCACAGCTCCACAGGGGCCATGTGCAGTGGTCCCCATTCATCCCTGGGTGTGCCAGGCAACAGGCAGACCGCACAGAAAGAAGGAATGCAGGGCTCTGAGCCGGGCTGCTGGGATCTGCTTGCCTTGGGTATTGATTTGGGTTTCTGATTCTGCCTTTCTTCTCTTTCCCCACAGGTCGACCCTCAGGTATGGCTCACTACCGCCCTCACTGGGCTTCTCACGCCTCTGTTGCTGTCTGTCGGTCAAGTGTTACGGACTGACACCCATGGACCAAGAGCCCTCACCATGCCCCCACATTCACACTTCTTGCTGCCATTGAGCAAGTCAGTTCTGCAGGATCAGGAGTCTGGGCAGGGCAACGAGGGCCCAGTGGAGGGAGGCGAGGAGGAGAGCAGGGAAGCAGGGAAAACCTTATCTTCTACATTGTAGGGGACACGATACCCACATGTGCGTACATGTGTGCATGCACGTGCACACACACAGAGCCACAGGACGGTGCTGGCTGTGCAGAAGAACTAAGCTCATCATTACTTTTGCCAGAAGGGCTCAAGCAAGTCAGGCTCCCAACCCACTGGGCCTGCTGGGCATGTCAACAGCATCACTTTGGAGATTCCATCCAGAACCCTGGTGCATTCCTGGGACAGCCGCCTATCTCCCGTCTCATCTTGTAGCACAGCCCTGTTTCCAGCCCCTGAAAAAAGAACAAAAAAACCCTCTCCCCTTCTCCCTGTTTTCCCCCAAGGCGGAGCTCACAAATAATCATGTCATGCAGTGTAACCATTCTAAATGGAATGCCCATGCTCGACTGTACTGGGGAAAATTTATTTAGTAAGGGGCTTTTATTGCGTAATATGTATGTGACATCCGGTAATGGGAACTGTGTTATATTTATTGTTTTATCTCTAAGAAAATATTGAAATAAAAGGAAAATGATCAGGGCCTATTATTCTCCAATGAGAAGAAATTTCAGGGCTCTGCTGGGAAGATGAAATGGGGAAGTGCGGGGAGCCCCGCTGCAGCAATACAGAGAGAGCTTCGCAGAAGGTACAGGGCAGAGGGGCCTGGGGGCTCCCGGAGGAACCCAGTGTTAAAACAGTCTCACTAGTTTCCATGAAATTCTTCATATATAGGGAAGCAGAGAGGTGAACCCAGAATCCAGGATGCTGTTAGATTTAATGAGATAAAACTCTTGTCATATTTCTTTGCATTCATTATAGTGTTAGCATCTATATTAAATATCGGTCTAAGCCCTCTTGCATTTTGAGGGTTTGGCCTAGCACCATCTCCCTCATTAGGGCCTGTTTGGTTAATGGAGAGGCGTCTGGAAGGTGGAGGGTCTCCCTGGTGGCTGGGACGCACACCCACGGGGGCTTTCTCACCATCCCGTGTTTCCTATAGTTTCAGCACTTCCGGGAGAGACTGCCGTCCACCTTTTTTTCCCGATTCAGAAGTGCTGACCAGGGCATCGTGACTAAAACCAAGTACAACCTCACGAAGTGCTTCACGCTGAGCCCGGGGACCTATGTGGTGGCCGCGTCTGCGCGCACAGAAGCAGTTGAGTTCTTGCTTCGAATCTTCCTGAAAATGCCAGACCCGGACCGGTAAGAACCTCTGGGGTTCTAACTGCAAATTCTACCTAATTCCATTAAAACACATTCAATGCCATGTCCATGGTCAAGACGGGTCAGCAAAGGTACACCCTGCTGGACAGCTCACCCTCTCCTGGACCCGAGGCAGACATTCCGCAGTCATGGTGGTCTTCACAGTGGAGCATGGGCGGAGCCTTCTCAGTCCAGCGTGCCAGGCAGCCACTGGGCTACCAGTCAGAGTAAACTTGAGGTGACGCTTACCTGCCATCCTGGCAATGAGGGTTGCTGTCCATGCGTATCTTGTGACAGGAACCACTTCCTAAATGGTTAAGGACCAGATGGCCCAAAAGACTGGACATGTGGTCATGATGGTCATTGTCTGCCAACTGTCAGAGCCGCCCACTTCACAGCCTGCTGTGCCTAGGGCGCTCCACTCAGTCCTTGGCGTCAGTGCCCCCCTGGGGTGCCCTCCATATGCAAGGCCCCTTTGAACAGTGAGCGGGCATTCTTGTCACACTGTCCCCCTGATTTTCTAGGAACCTGGGCAGCGGTTTCAACCTCAGAGCACTGCAGGTAGGTGTGCAGGAAGGTGGTGGGTAGGTGTCATTGGCCATATTCCATCCCCAAGAGCTTCTATCTTCTTCCTTATTGCCTCATCACTGACCAATGAAAACAAACATTATAATGGGAGGATGATGGCTCAAAGGGGCAGGGCAGAGGGGAGAAGGCCAGGCCTCCAAGGCCAGGCCTCCAAGGCCAGGCTGGGCCCAACCATCTTCTTTCCACCAATTTCCATTTTCCCCTTCCCCTAAAGGTTTCATCCGATTGCTGGATGAAGCCCCTGTCCCAGATCCAGGTCGGGGGTTCTTGTGCCCTCACTGTGCCAGACAGGTGCCTTCCTTTTCCAAAAATTTGATGTGGGCTATTTTCCATTTGATCCAGGCAAGTCTTCCAGAAAATGGCTCCCAACAAAGCATTTTCTACAAATATGCCCAGCAGGTATGGTACTCAGCATGGGGACAGGTAATGGAGGGACCAGAGGGAAGGAAATCTGTCCCAGGCTTTTATCAGGATGACAGAGAGGAAAGGTAACTTCATGGGTTATTTTATCGGCCTCCTTCTCTGGACATCTCCGGAACTGATCTGGCTACCAAACTCTGGAGAGAAATGACGTCCCACCTGGGTGACATCTGGGATGGAATGTAGAGCTTTATAAATCTGTAAACAAGCAGCTGGCAACATCCCTTGAAATCTTTCCTTCTCCTGCTCTGCCAGCTCCCACCAACCTTGGCATCATTCCTCCCGGGAGATAGCCAGCTGCAGAGATCACCAACAGAACTCTTCCTGCCAAGCAAGCCACCTATGTACACAAGGGATTTTCTTAATGGTTTTATAAACCGTTATAAAGAACTCCTTGACTTGTCAGGATAAAAACAGCTGCCAAGGGCTCTGCACGATGGGCTTTTTACCATTAATAATCATGTTGGGTGGAAAGTGATACAGATGATCGTGTGGATGGTGCCAGCCCCAGGCCAGGCAGAGGCCAAGGACAGGATGGATGCCAGACATTCAGACGGCTGCTGGGGCGGTGATGGCCAGGAGGCAGCCCAAAGGGAAATTATTCATGAGCCTGGGCTCGGAGGAAAACTCAAGGAGAAGTAAAAAATGTGGCTGGCATGTAGGGTGCAGGTTGCAAGGAGCACCTCCTTGAAATTAATATGGGCCCAGGATTCAGGTCTACATCTGGGCTGATTCAAAAGGCTCTTGACCTGATACAGTCTGTGAGGTCCTGAAGGCAGGGATGACATCATATGCATTCCTTGTCCCCAGACCTATCACTGCCCTTGGCACAGAGAAGGTGCTCAGTCAATTTGCATTGAATTAAGAGAGATTAGCTTCCCCTAGAGCAGATGCCCAAGCTCAGGTCACTGCCCCAAGTTGATCAGCAGGACCTGAGACCAAACTTCCTTCAGGGGTGAGTGGCAAATCCTCAACATGGTCTATGCACCTGCACATCTGAAATGTAATGATAAATTGGGAGGTGATAAATGGTACGGATTCCCTAATTAGGACTTTTCTAAACAACAACCAAATGCCTTTCAGAGGGGGTCACTGGAGCCCATATGGGGCCTTTGTAGAAATGAGACACAGATTGGTGCCAAACAGCTGGGAGTAGAACCCAGTCTGGACTCCGGTCCCTTCTCACCCCTTGCCCGGACACCCTGGAGCAGCACCAACCCGGCATCTTTCTGCAAAACCTGCAAGCTATACTCAAAAGTTGTGAGCGCAAAAAGAAAAAAGCCCATGTGCTCGCTGTGTCCTTCCTCCTGATCTCTTGTATCCGTTTACCTAGCCTTAAACGAATACAGTGACTTCCTAGGACTGCTACCATTACCACGAGTCACCTTCATCAGCCATGGTAGTGGGGATGGTGCCATAACCCAGGGGCTACCTGTGGCCAGCAAGGACAGGTTGCTAATGGGGCAGGCCAGGCCCACCCGTCCATCATTTATTTAGTTGGTAAACATGTCCCAATACCTAGGACATTCCAAGTACCATGCTACGCTTTGGGAATGCAGTGTCAGTCCTCGGGAACTTCTATTGAGGTGGTAGAGACAGAGTGCAATTCTTTGGGAATTCGTTGAGGCAAAGTTCCTCTCCATTCCTAGCCTCATCTCCTCAAACATCCTGGTGGTGACTGGTCCAGGGTCCAGGTCAGGGGCTGTGCTGGGAGGTTGGGAGACCTGCAAGAGGGAGATAGGATCCATGCGTCAAAGCTGCTTATCTTCTCGTTGGTTGGAGTTCCTCACCAACATGTCAGCTGCTCTGCAAAGCAAGGTATGATGTTTCTTTTGAGGAAAAAACTCAGTTGATGGTGAGCACACCAAAAGGACTTCCCGGACCCATGAGACGTTGGAGGAATGACCTAAGGGCCAATTTCAGACACTGGCAGCATTTCTGGGGGCCTCATGAGGGGTCATCCTTCTAGCTAAAGTACAGGCTGCAGGATTGTTCTTGCTTTCAGTTCTGTGTGATGAGGCCAACCCTGGGGACAGCATGTCCTCAATGGGGTGCTGGTTCTCAGAAGACCCTAAGGAGGCACCTTCTTCCACCTGACCCAGCACCACTCTGCAAAGCCACCCGCTGGGAGTCCTCACTCCAACTCCTTCCCCGTGTAAAGGCTTTGCCAGGGTGTTAATGTCCCATCATCTGCTCAGCTTTGACCAGGCTGGTGTAAGAAACGGCCACGTGTAGAACAGCTCTATTCGGTAAAATCATCATGGAAGACACTGCCCATGCAGCCACTCAATGTCCCTCATAGAAAACTGAATTCAGTTAACGCCTCCAGAAGTTCAGGCCAGGAAATGTTTCTCTCCCCTTAACCTCAATTGCTTCCCCCTTCCTGCTTCAGTGTCTGGGAAGACCAGCATTAAGTAATGGGTTCAATTAGAGCAGCTTCTCTTAGCTCAGGTTCCCAGCATTTTAATCTCTCACTCCCTGCCCCCCTCCACAACCCCACACATGTACATTCAATAGTCAAATTTTCTTAGTCTCTTTCTGGAAGCAGATGGGGAAACATACCTACGGGGCTGAATTGATTCATTCAGCAATACTTCTCCTGAGGGACTCCCAAGTGCAAAGCATGGGGGCGGGGGTGGGGGGGGGAAGCAAACACTGCTTTCAGTCCAATCACGAATGAAGAGATAAATGCAAGGTACCCACACAAGGTATCAATCGTCTGGTAGTCAGCACCACAGAGGTCCCGGGGAGGGAGTATCACCATGGCCCGGAGCCATCAGGAGAGGCTTCCTGACAGAGGTGAGCTGGGCACTGGGTGGGAACTGTGACTAGCAATCTGAGTGCTTTGCAGAGCCAGGCAGATGTGTCCCTCAGCTCCTGGGCACTGGATAATTCCTCCTTTGTTTGGACCAGGGACTAAGCATTGATGCCACCCAGCTTCAGAGACTTCTCAACCAGGAATTCCTGAAAGGTAAGGACCTGCTGTTCCCAACGTCATCCCCACTGCCGAGCCAGCCCCATGTCACCCTCCCTGACCCTTCAGTCCCGCCTGTTCTACCCCCTCAGGACCTCCAGAGGACACCTTCTCTCTGGATGCGTGCCGGGGCATCGTGGCGCTGATGGATGTATCCTTTGCCGTCATCTCCCAGCCCTCCCCATCTGCTCTGTGGGCCTCCCAAGGAGTCTAATGAGATGTTACAGAACCCTTTCTCTCAGTATTCTCTCTTTTTCTTGGTTCTGAGAGGTCACCAAAGGGCCCGGGTTTCTGTGGATTCTAGTCTAACCCCCTAACTCTCCAAAATATTGGTAACCGTAGTGCCCTAGCTGGTTTGGCTCAGTGGATAGAGTGTCAGCCTACGGACTGAAGGGTCCCAGGTTTGATTCCAGTCAAGGGCACATGCCAGAGTTGCGGGCTCAGTCCCCAATAGGGGGTGTGCAGGAGGTAGCTGATCAATGATTCTCTCTCATCATTGATGTTTCTATCTCACCCTCCCTCTCCCTTCCTCTCTGAAATCAATAAAAATATATATTTTTAAAAATAGCCGCAGCAACAATGACAATAGTTACCATCTGTCAAGCAACTATAGAAGCACTGAGACTTGTGGAAAAGTCCTCAGTCTGTACAGCAGTTGGAACCCAGGGGCAGATGGGAGACAGGGTCGGCCATCCAGTGACTTGTCCAGTTTCCATAGTCACGTGGCAGAGCAGGGAATCAAACCCAGGTCTCCTGCCTCCCCCCCTGGCTTCTTTCTCTGATGAGCCATGTGGGCCCCTCCCCTGGCAGACAGGAAAGACCATCTTCCGGTGTGCATAGCCCCCAGCATGCCTGTCGCGCTCCCCTCGGTGTGGGTGGTCTCCTGGGAGGAAGACAGACCCTGCTCTTTCACTCCTAACAGGACTTGATTGGGAATTTGAAGGTCATCGCTGTCAAACAAGAGGGCTTCTTGATGAAATCATAAATCAGGCCCCGTCTCTGCCAGCAGATGAATCAAAATGGCCATAGCATCCCCCCAGCCTGGGGCAGGTAGCCCTGGAGGAGTCACCACCCCCAGCAAAGCAGGCGGGTCTTTTCTACCCTTCCTCCTACTCACACTCCAGGCCCTCCGAGATCCATTCTTTTCTTGTCATCAGTTCTCATGAAATCCATCATATGGAATGGCTAGGGCTGGTTTTAAGACATCCATTCACATGCACACCTGGCCCACGTTCACGTCTCAGGCTGTTTCAGGAGTTGCCATGACCCCCTCAGGCTTGTTCCCACTCAACTGGTGAAGGTTGTGGTTGGGGCTCTCTCTCTTCCCCTGGATGCAAGAGATGTTGGCCTCCCCTTTCTCAGGGCTTTCTTCTCCTTCCAATTCTCCATTTCGCCTTGTAAAATAAATCTAAGCCAGGTCCCTTTCAGATGCAGAAGGAGCCAGCTGGCATGAGGCCCAGTCCCCATCCATGTCACTAGTTGAAGGATGGAGGGCTTGTTGGTGGGACCTGCGGCCCCTCTGCTCAGTGCATGCTGGACTGGTTAACTCTTAACTCCCGGCAGCTGAAAGTGAACGGGCAGCTCGACGAGGAGGAGTTCTCCAGGCTGTGGAGTCGACTCGTCTGCTGCCAGGTACCGGCATGTTTGCTTTGGACTAGCACTCTTGTTCCATCCCGTTTAGCAGATAGTAGTGGGCGCTTTCTCCTGCACCTGGGTTGAGGGGTACAAAGAAAAGGAGCCTCACCAGGCCTCAAAGAGAACTCCCATTGTGTTTGGGGAGCCATACATGCGTCACCAGAAGGCAGTGCCCGATGGAGTGGCAGGGTGAGGATCACTCTTGGAGGATGGAGAGAAAGGGCCCGCCGTAGAGTGTAGCTAAACCACCAGCTATCCTTGCCCCCACATCCCTCCCCTGGCACACGGCCGCATCCTCAGGCTGCCAGTTCATCTCCTTCCCTGCCCCTCCACATGCTGGAAGGTACATCAAAACCACAGATGTGTATGGCCATCCCAGTGCTCAGGACAAACTCTAACCTCCTCAGAGCTGTGCTCCAGATCCTCTGAGTTTTGAGCCTCCTTTAGGGTCCAGGAGAGGCCCTTCCACTCACTCCACGCATCCCTGCAGACCCCAACTAGGAGACTCCTTGCTCGTCCTCCCTGCACTCCCAGCCTGGGCAGCGCCCACCCACCCTGGGAGTCCAGCTCAGACACAACATCCCTGCAGGGCCTCCCTGGGGGGTCTTGCCCACCCCCAAGGCCCTGTGAGTTCTCCCCCCAGCTCCTAACACTTGAACTTGCAGCAGGAAACTAAAGTCCCTGTGTGTGTGGCTATCCCAGGTTATCACCTGATCTCCAACTTGGGTCATTGGGGGTCTTGCAGGCACTGCAGTGGCTGACATGCCCCCCATTAGGTTGTGGGGTCCTCTAGGGCTCGGGCTCCCTCATAGCCATCTTCCTTCCCCACTGCCTTCCTTAGTGTCTAGCACACAGTAGGTGCTCAAAGTGCTAAACAAATGACCAAACTATGAATTACTGAGTGAATGAGGGGATGAATACCTCTCTGAGAACACTCTACACTTGGTGGTTATACTCACCAACAAAGCCAGGTAAGGCCAGAAAGGGTGCGTAAGCTGCTATCTCCCACTGACTGTCTTCTGAAGTCGGCCTCAGACACACCAGCTGGGGTCCCACGGCCTGCATGCTTAGCCCAAAGCAGTCCCTCCCCCGCCTGGGCGTGCTTCCTCACCTGTGAAGTATGGGACAATCAGGGTTAGTGTGTGAATCAGGAAAGGCTGAACCATGCTGGAGAGGGAGAGCCCCCTGTAGAGATTGGGGTGTTGGGGTTACTATGGCCTGGGACCGTGCTTGGTCCTGGACACAGCCCTCGCCTGCCTTGGTGCTCCCTGCACTCGCTCACTATGTGCAGGGCACCCTCCCGGCACATTATAGGTATCTGCGCGTTTACTCCTGGCAACTCACCTGGGAGCCCGGCCCTTGGGCCTGTGCTGCCGATGGGGAAGCAGGCCTGGGAAGAGGCAGTAACCTGCCCAAGGTACATGCCGCCGGCCGTAAGCCAATCTGTGCTCTTCATCACCCCGTGCAGACTCTTTCAAGAGCTCCCCAGCTCCCCAGAAGGCAACGAGCTGCCTGAGTGTCAGGAGCCCAATGCGGGGTGAGGGAGAGGAGAGAGCAGGTTGGGAGAGGGGGTTGGGGAAGAAGAAAACCCCCTAGCCCTGCAGCTGGAGGTCAGAGTGCGCAGCCTCCCCGTCCCCCGTCCCCCGTCCCCCGTCCCCCGCTGGGTGCCCTGCCTGCCTCTGAGCTGAGCCTCCAGGGATGGCAAAGGGATTTGCGGGACCTCCCTCTCCCAGGACGTCCTCTTCACGATGGTCCCTGAGACTCACACAGGCTCCTGGCCTCTTTCCCATGTCAGAGCGTTTTCCAGAACACCCAGAGGAACACAGGCGTTTTCCTGAGCTCGGATTTGTGGAGGGCCATAAAGGATACAGGTAAAGCAGGGACCCTCTGTGCCCGATGATGGAGGGTGGCAGCGCCTGTGTGTGTGTGTGTGTGTGTGTGTGTGTGTGTGTGTGTGTGCGCACATGGCACACCCCTCACGGGCTGCAGGCAAGGCTGGTGCAGCGAAGCGGGCAGTCAGGACCAGCAGAGCTGTGGCTTCATGGCCTCCCCTGGTTTACACCGGCCTCTGGGGCCTCCAGCTCTGGGCTCAGACTCTGCTTCCTTTGCCTGAGTTCTCACGTGCCAGTCAATGCTGCCGGCTGCCTTCTCCCCAGCACAGCTCTGACTGCGAGAGGGTAAGCCACATGATTGAAACCCCACCACCAAGCCGCCCTCGGGGACTCTTCATCTTGGCATCCGGGCCGTCGGGGTTAAACACCCACGGGCAGGCTGGTGCACTCGCCACAGAGGGTTTGGGGCGAAACGAAATCAATGGCATCTCTCTGCTGCAAGGAGGCAGAGCTTTCAGCCCTGGGCTAAGGAGGCAGCCCTGCAGGAGCGCCTGGTGGTCGGGCAAGGACTTGCACTCATGTCATCTCATTCGATGGTCTCCACAACTCTGAAACTGGGAAGGGTGGGAATCACCGTCTCCACTGTGCCATGTGGGGAATGGCTCACACAAAGGTTAAGTCAGGAAACCTGTGGCCCAGACTTCCTTGCAGGGGTCTCCGTCAGCAGCGAGCTGCTGGATCTGGTGGCCCTCAGGTACAGCGACAGCGCCGGCAGGGTCAGCTTCCCCAGCCTGGTCTGCTTCCTGATGCGGCTGGAAGCCATGGCAAGTAAGTGTCACCTGAGGACACCCTGGAGACCTTCCCAGTGATCAGAAACCCAGGAGGGGACCAGGGATGCACTCCTGCCCCAGCCTGGGCCGTGGGTGGCCTGCAGTCCTGCCCCAGGAGCTGTTGCCCAAGAGACAGCCAACGCTAGCCTGCGTACTGGTGTCATTGGCTGGTGTCCCCAGGCTCCTTCTGCACCCTTCTCTCTCCAGGAGATCCCCTATCCCGGGCTCCCGTCTCCTTGTCACCCTGTTTACTCAGTGCTTCTTCCAGGGTCATGGCCGAATCATTGGGTCCCTCTCCAGATTGTGTTTATAGTTTAAACCTGCTCTATAGTCATGTGGCGAATGACTTGGTCTCTGCAGGAGGAATTGCACAAGCCAGCAAATAGCTAGGGGCAGGAGGTCTTTCCCCAGGCTGCAGAAACTCAGCTCTGTAGGCCAGAGGTTTGACGCTTTTTAGCAGCATACCCCTTTGCTGTAAATGAAATCTTATGTGAAACCCCAAGCTACAAAATAGCTCAAAATGGGCCTGCCGTGGTTGAGGTAGCAGTGGCATCTGGCCTCAGCTCTAATCCTTACACCGCCCTGCCTTGTGGCATCACTGTAAACCCTACCGCTCTGAGCTAGATGATTCATGTTAAGATGGTGAGAACAGCCCTAGCTGATTGGCTCGGTGGTTAAAGTGTAGGCCCACGGACTGAAGGGTCCCAGGTTCGATTTCAGTCAAGGCACGTACCTCGGTTATAGGCTCAATCTTGGCCCTGGTTGGGCGTGCGCGGAGGCAACCAATTGATGTGTCTCTCTCACATTGATGTTTCTCCCTCTTTGTCTCTAACCCTACCTTCCTCTCCCTCTAAAAATCAATGGAAAAAATATCCTCCGGTGAGGATTATCCAAAAAATAAAAAGATTGTGAGAACAGAGCCCTGGGAGGGTAAATGAAAAGCCTGAGGCATAAACCTGTTCCAGAGAGTTCTCAGTTGGATGAGGGAGGTTCGTGCCCCAAACGATGCCCCGGAAATTCTTCCAAAGACAAGCTCACACCGCCCCACGGCCAAGTGAGGAGACGCATAGTGCAGGGAGACAGAGGGAGAGAGGCATGTGGGCCGGAGCAGCCAGAGCAGTTCCGAAGACTTGAGCCCGAGCTGTCCCTGGAAAGAGAAGAGAAGGGGAGGCAAATCATCTCCCGTGGAGAGGGAGAGAGTTTCTCTGGCTTCACACAGAATCACCGCACTTGCTTTTATACCAGCCTGTCCTGATTCCTCTCCTCTCTACCGTAGAGACTTTCCACAACCTCTCCAAGGATGGAAAAGGACTCTACCTGACAGAAGTGGAGGTGAGCCGCCTTGCCCTCCCAGAGACAGGACCAGCCCAGCCCTCCTCTCCTCCCCAGATTCCAGGGGCATTTTTCTCCCTGAGGATATCGAACAGTCTGTCAGAGGCCAGCCAAGCTGCCGGCCCCTCTGCCTCCAATTACTGCCTTTATATATTGCTGGCTGCCAAGGCTGCTCTAGGAGCTTGGCAGACATTTTATTTTTTTCCGATAGCTTAATAAAGCAGAGGATTATGTCGAAGTCATAAATCCAAGCGGGAACTGAAGCACACCTGCTGAGCTCACTGTACATTAAACTTCCTCCCATTGCATTTTGGAAAGAACCTCCTGGCCCAGCCAGCTGGTCGACCTCAGCTACTCTCCCACTGCCTGGCAGTGCAGGGAGTAGCAGGAGATACGCTGTGACAGGGGCGGGACCTCCTGCTTGGATTGGAATTAGCCAGAAAGGGTTGATGAGACTAGCCAGAGATCTTTCAAGGGAGGAGGGTACCATTTGCCCTCATCTGTGTGAAGCTCGTGAGTGTAAAACTGGTTGTGATGAGAATGCTTATTTCCTAGTGGATGAACTTGGTCATGTACAACTGAAGCAGGAGCAGAGCAGACCCCAGAGACCAGGTAAGACATGGCAGCTTTAGAATCATTTCTTCTTGGGGCCCAATTCCCCTTCACCTGCACACAAGACCCTCTCCCTAGGAGCAGCCTCAGAGGTTAAGGAGCCCTTATTTGTGTGAGCCAAGGGGGACCTGAGGTTTTCAGGCCAGTGCTGCAGGTTTCATCCAAGTCATGGAGACCAGTGGGCATTCATGAAAGAGAATGGCCTGAAAGTCATGAGTGAGGGAGTTAGAATCTGTTTTTTAAATCAATTTACTTTTTATTGAGATATGATTGATAGTTAACATTGTGTTAGTTTAGGTATCTAACAATGATTTGATATATGTATATATTGTGAAATGGTCACCACAATAAGTTTAGTTAACAACTGTCACCACACATAGTTACAGATTTTTTTTGTTATGATGAGAACTTTTATGATTTACTCTCTTAGCAACTTTCAAATATACTAAATGTTATTCACTATAGTCACCACACTGTACATCCTCAGGACTTATCTATCTTAGAACTGGAAGTTTATACCTTTTGCCCACTCCAACCCCCACCTCTGGAAATGAACAATCTCTTCTCTGTATCTGTGAGTTCAGTTTTCTTTTGTGTTTGGGTTTTTGTTTGTTTGTTTTTAGATTAAAAGTGAAATCATATGGTATTTTTGTCTTTCTCTGTCTGACTTATTTTATTTAGCATAATGCCCTCAATGTCCATCCCTGTCATTGAAAATGGCAGAAGTGCCTTCTTTTTTATGGCTGAGTAATATTCCATTGTATATATACACCACATTCTCTTTATCCATTCATCTGTTGATGGACACTTAAATTGTTCCCATCTCTTGGCAATTGTAAATAATGCTGCATTGAACATGGGGTGCAGACATCTTTTTAAATTATTGTTTTTGTTTCCTTTGGATAAATATCAAAAAGTAGAATTGCTGAATCATATGGTAGTTTTAGTTTTAATTTTGGGGAGAACCTCCATACTGTTTTCCATAGTGGCTGCATCAATTTACATTTCCACCAACAATGCACAAGGGTTTCCTTTTCCCTACATTCTGTACAACACTTATCTCTTGTCTTTTTTTTATAATAGTGATTCCAACAGGCAGGTGTGAATTGATATCTTATTGTGGTTTTGATTGGCATTTTCCTGATGCTTAGTCATGTTGAGCAACTTTTCATGTACCCATTGGCCAGTTGTATATCTTCTTTGGAAAAGTATCTATTCAGATTTTCCGTCCATTTTTAATCAATTGTTTGTTTTTTCTACTGAGTTATATGAGTTCTTTATATATTTTTTATATTAACCCCTTATCAGATATATAATTTGCAAATATTTTCTCCTATTCAGCAGGTTGCCTTTTCATTTTTGTTGATTTCTTTTGCCTGCACAGAAGGTTTTTAGTTTGATATAGTCTCTCTTGTTTATTTTTCCTTTTGTTGCTTTTGCTTTTGGTGTCCATTCAAACAACTCATTGTCAAGACCAATGTCAAGAGGATTATTCCCTATATTTTCTTCTAGGAGTTTTATGGTTTAAGATCTTATGTTCAAGTCTTTAATCTATTTTGAGTTGATTTTTGTGTGTGGTATAAAATAGGGGTCTGGTTTGATTTTAGAATTCTTAACTGACGTTTCAATGAGGTAAGGCAATCACGCATCACAGCAAACATTAATGTGTGGAGCAACAGAAATGATCAGACCTTGGGGAAGTGAAAGTTGGGTCCAGCCCCAGATCTACCATTGCCTCACTATGTAGCTTTGGATGCATCACAGACATCTGTAGACACCAGCATCTATTTCTCTAGCATGAGTGCGCTGAAGAATTTAACACCCATGTAACATTTTCTTTTACATTTTTACTTTTCAGAGAACAGACCTACAGATACATAGTCTACATCCCACCCTACTACAGCAGAAGCCCCTGCAGAGTCTGATAGAATATTCCGGAACTGGGGAGCTCAATATTTTGTGCTTCCATTGTTGGACACCTTCAAGTGTTAGGTGTTCTTTATCTAGCGGCAACAATCTACTTCCCTGGAACTTTCTATCCATGCTTCAAGCTCTACTCTCTGGACCACTCTAGAAAAATAGATTTGGACATGCCAGACCTTCAAATACTTTGCTGCCTACCCCAAAGCCTCTCTTCTTTCATTATCTCTGATGGTTCTTAACTAGGACCTTTTGGTGACCATTCTCTGTATGCCAATGTCCCTTTGGAGAGTCCAGTCCCCTATGCAGCAGACATGTAATCAACACATTCTGGGGTCCTATTCTTTTTGTCAACAGCATTTATTTAATCTCCCAATCATGTACCTTGAAATTAAGGCACAGACATGGTCTCTATAAAGAAATAATATTTTAGCATAAACATTTCCTGATGAATACCTGGTGCTTACTAATGAACAGAAGTCAACAAACATTGCAGATATTCAAGTTAATTAGGTTCAACTATATTTTCCTGAATTCCCCTTTCAATCCTTTTTAAAAATAGAACACTTGATCATTTCCAATTTGCCTGATTCCTATCTCCATCTGCATGATTTCCAATATCAGGAATGATTCTTCAATTGTATCTTTAAGCTAATTTTGCATGTAGGACCTAAAGCTTGAACTTTTGAAATAACTGAACTCTCAATTATCCTTTCTCCCATAAAGGGTCTCAACTCCCTCTGCACTAATTTTCTCACACTTCCTGTTCCTTAAGATTATGTCAGAAGGAAGTATGATGTAAGTTGCATGGTTATGTGTGTTTCCGTCTCTTTCAGTAATGCCTGTCATCACCCTAAGAGTGCTCCCCCGACTTCCCTGTGAATCACAGCCCTCTGCCATCACATTAAAGCATATCCACTCACTCTTGGCTCATGGGTTGCTTCGCAGAATTGGAGGCAGGCGGATGAATAAATCCTGCCTCCAAATCTACAAACCCACTTTTATCTGTAATCATCTCCCACCTTCCTCCATTATGCTAGAGGGCATGTTCCTCTGAGGATGTCCTGGATCTAATTACCTTCCACCTTTTCAAGGGTTTGATTGAATGAATGCTCTCCTCTGACTTCTGAATACCAAACCTCTCTCTCTCTTTCTTCTGGAGCCTTCTAATTCCAATTTAAACATGCTTCCCTCTTAAATTTCCAGCCACAACTCCATCGCTTTCCTCTCTTTACAGAAAAACACCCATCCAGAGCCAACTGTCTCTACATCCTTTCCTCCCACTTTCTCCTAAAGTTGCTTCAATTCAGATTTCTCAGACATCATCTCTCCTGGCCTTTTCCATTGGCTCCCTATCTGATTTCTTATGTCCACCCATATCCCTCAAATCAGTTTCCTGCAGTCTGAGCACACTTTAAAAGATTCAAATCCAATCACTGAACTCCCCAGGTAAAAATCCTTCAGTGTTTTCCAATTGATATTCAGGAAATGTATGGAATCATGAACATGGTCTGCATCGCCTGGCCCCTGCCCTCCCATCTCACCACCCCTGTGTCTCTCTTCCTTCCTGCACTCTACTTCCACCGCCACAGCATCATTTTATTTCCTTTCATGTTTTATTCTTTTCCCAGCCTCAGGGCCTTTGCCCTTACTGTCTGCTCAGCCCGGGGTTAGTTACCTAACTCCTAAGAGTTCAGGTCTTAGACTTAGCCCTATTGGGTTCCCGTGTTATTTACTCACATATCACACTTCCCCAATCATAACATTCAAAACACGTTTTTATTGTTGTTGCCAACTTTTTCTCTTTTTAGAGCTTTATTATGATGCAACTCACACACCATACAGTCTACCCATTTAAGCTGTAGGGTTCGATGCTTTTCAGTATAGTCACAACACTGTGCAACCGTCACCACAATGTAATTTTAGAATATTTTTCATCACCACAAAAAGAAACCCCATGCCCATTAACGGTCACTTCGTAATTTTGCCTGGCACCTCTAGTGCTAGGCAACCTCTATTCTAGTTTCTGTATCTGTTTATAATTGGAATCATATAATATGTGGTCCTTTGTGACTTCTTTCACTTAGCATGGTATTTTCACCGTTCATCCACGTGATAGAATGTATCAAGACATCATTTCTTTTTGGTGTCAATATTTTATTTTTGTCAACATACCATATGTTATTCATTCATTCATAATTTGATGGACGTTTAGGTTTTTTCTACTTCATGGCTTATTGTGGATAATCCTGCTGTGAATGTTCGTATACAAGTTTTTGCATGGATGTATGTTTTTATTTCGCTGGGGTGTATGCCTAGGAGTGGAATTTCTGGGTCATATGGTAACTCTATATGTAACCTGTTGAGGAACTGCCAAACTGTTTTCCAGAGCGGCTGCACCGTTTTCACATCCCCACCAGCAGTGAATGAGAGTGCATTTCTCCACATCCTCCACAGCACTTGCTGTTGTCCGTCTTTTTTACGATGGCATCCTAGAGGGTGTGAAGTGATATCTCATGGTGGTTTTGATTTGCAGGTCACTGGTGGCTCGTGATATTAAGTATGTTTTTGGTGCTTATTGGCCATTAGTATAACTTCTTTAAAGAAATATCTATTTAAATCATTTGTCTGCTTTAAAATTGGGTTATTTGTCTTTTTGTGACTGGGTTGCAAGATATATAGAGAGGGATAGGCAAAAGTAAGTTTACAGTTGTGAATATACAAAAGTTTATTCTTGTGTTATGATTATTTGTTGTATTATAACTGTAAACATATTTTTGCCCAGCCCTGTATTCTAGTACAAGTCCCTTGATTGTGTTTGTGATTGCAAAACTTTTCTCTCATTCTTCATGTTGTCTTTCAAGTTTTTTGGTGATATTGTTTACAGAACATGAGTTTTTAATTTGGAAATGCAAATTATCTGTTTTTCCTCTTGTCACTTATACTTTAGGTATTGTATCTAAGAATTCATTGCAGACCCCCAAGATCATGAATATTTACTTCTATGTTTTACTCCCAACATTTTTATAGTTTATCTCTTACAGTTAGATCTTTGATCCATTTTGATGTAACTTTGTATATGATATGATTTGGTATCCAACTTTATTGTTTTACATGTGTGTATCCAGGTGTCTACTTTTGTTCAAAAAGACTACTCTTTGCCCCATTGTATTGTCTTAGCACCAAAAATCAATTGATTTTTTCCAAAAATCAATTTATCATAATGTAAAGATTTATTTCTGAACTTTAAATTCTATTCCATTGTTCTACATCTGTCCTTATGCAAGTAGTACAATGGGCTGGTCACTGTAGCTGTCTAGTAAGTTTTGAAATCAGGAAGTGTGAGTCCTCCAACTTGGTTTTCCTTTTTCAAGATTGTTTTGGTGATTTGGGGTTCCTTGAATATAATATAAGTTTTAGGATCAGCTTGCTAAATTCTGCAGGTGGAAAAAAAGGCAGCTGGGGTTTTTATAACAATTGCATAAATCTGCAGATCAATTTGGGGATATCACCATGTTTGCAATATACGATATACGGTTTTCTGATCCATGTATGTGAGATGTCTCTCTGTGGTTTTTTTTTTTTTTTAGATCTTCCCTAATTTCTTTCAAAAAATTTTTGTTTATAGTGTAGAAATTCTGCACTTTCTTTGTTAAATTTATCCCTAAGTATTGTATTCTTTATGATGCTATTACAAATAATTTTAGTTTCAGATTGTTCACTGCTAATGTATAGAAATAAAAATTAATTTGTGTATATCGATCTTACATTCTGCCACTTTACTGAACTCATTTTTTAGTTCTAGTAGTTTTCAGGGGATTCCTCGGGATTTTGTATAGACATAATTATATCATCTGCAAACAGAGAGTTCTATTTCTTCCATCCCAATCTGGGTGGCTTTGATTTATTTTTCTTGTTCAATGTCCTGCCTAGAACTTCTAGTACAACTCTGCCCAGCATTCCTTTACTTTGATGCTACAGAGTTCAAGTTGCTTTCTTCCAGGATCTTCATCACACCCAGTTAGGAAAAAGACTCCCACTGCCAGCATTCAGTCCAGAGAATTCCCTCTCCTCACTCATCTGGTCCTCTGTGCAATGAAGCAGCCACTGGAACACAGAAAGGCCTTGTCCGATGAGCTATGTGAGCTTCTGCCCAGAGCCTGGGGCGCTGAAGACCCTCAATAGTCTACTTTCCTCCAGGTCACTCCCCACAAGCTGTGTCAACAGCTTCAATCTGCCCTTGGACTCTCCAGGCAAGCTGTGGTGTCCACCACTGTGAGCCCACCTCTGTCTCCCTCCTTCAACTACCTGTTGCCTCTGCCTTAGTAAGTGAGGAGGTAGAAGTGTGCAGCCAGACAACACCTCTTCCTCCCCTACCATCAGGCCTGTTTCTTTTCAACAAAGCATGCACCTCCATGGCCACACATGGGCAATGCTTCTGTGAAAAATCTTCAGAGCTATCAAGTTCATACTTTTAAAAAATGACTCCAAAAATACTCAGAGCATCCATAGATGGTCCTTGGACATTTGAGACTATGTTGATTTTAATTGGTTTCCATCTAGAGGTTTAATACACTGCAAGTCACACCTGCTGAGAGTTTGTCCAACTAATGTCATGTACATTCACGTGGATCTACTGTCAACGTGGCAGTACAGCGTCTTATTCTAACAACGTTAGTAGTTATAACAGTTTCCCACTGCGCAGAAATAAGGTGTGGGAGCAACATGCCAGCTTCTGCTACTCTGCATGAAGGTAAAATGTGCCAGCAGCAGCCCTGATCCTGCTGATTTACCAACAACCCAACCACGGTGTCACTGGAGTGGGCTAGCTTCTCTCCTAACAAACCCGCCTCTCCATCCTTCAGACCAACGGAGTGCTTCTCAAGAGTTGGGGGTCTGGACTTGCCTCTTTGGTGTGAAAACTCCTCCCTCCTTTGGCAGACAAACACCTGTTGGTGAGCGGGTACCTTTCAAACCCAGGATGTCCAGCTTCTGGAGCTGGATTTTAAAGAGAAATGTATCCACCTAGGGATACATGACATGGGCCCTCCAAGGGCATGAACCAAGAAGGAGCAAGTTGGAATCCAGGAAAAAAGCGGTCCAGCCGTCCAAGGACCAGAGCTAGGCAGCTGAACAAGGGAGCAAGAGGCCCGGTGAGGAGCAGGAAAAGGGACCCCTGGGGGAAAAGGGACCAGCAGTTCTGTCTGACCGCAGCGTAATCATGGGGAAATGGTGTTCAGATAGATTTTGAAATTCGGCTGGAGAGCTTAGAAGAATTATTAGGATAATAATGTAGTCTAAGCGGATTTTTAGAATGAGGTTATTATTAATTCCTGGAAGAACAAAGAGCTATAGAAGAAAAGTAATATGATCCCAGAGTATTTCTTCCCTCAGCAGTCAACAGTACATATATAATTGTAATAAAGCAAAAATGGGATATTGATTTCACAAAAAATGTGACATAAATCTATTAGAGAATGTAGGGAGCAAAGGCACAGGTATGCAAGTGGGCGAGGAGCATCCCAGCCCCATCTTCCATCATCAGTCAATAGGCATTTCCCATTAATAAGCCAGGGTTAACCACGGGAGCATATTATTAAGAAATATGGAGGTCGCCATCAGAAGAAAGAGTTCGGAAAGAGGAATTCAGGGTAGGAACGGAACAGGGGGCTGCGTCCTTCCTTCCTGCCTTATAATACTAGCTGTATATTTAACTTAAGTACTTGGGCTGGATTTTTATGAAAAATAAGTCAGCAAACTAGCAAATAGTCTGAGACTCCAGAGAAGAGGAGAGAGAGCCAGGCTGCTTTGCCACATGGGCGGAAGTTGACTGATGATAGTTGTAGAAGAAATGTTTATACAGGAATGTCGTTTTAATCCAAGAAATGTAGCCATGGAAAAGTCACCCTCTTACAGGACGGCAGAGCCCTCAGATGGAACAGAGGGCAGAGCTGCCTTTGGTCTTAGCCCTTCCAGCCCATGGTGGGGAGGGGGTCGGGGAAACATCTGCTCCCCAACTTCTCTCCATTTCGCTCCAGACACTCGGGTGCTAAATAGGCTGTGGTTTGCACTCAGACAGGCAGAGTAGGTGGGTAGGTGCCTCCGGGGATCTCTGAAGAATGAGATGCTGACATTCGCATCCACTGGGGAGCCCTGGGCATGATGGGGCTGGTCCAGCCTTACCTGCAGGTGGTACATGTGCTCCCCCTGCTGGTGGTTCTGAACAGTGTTCATGGGAATGAGGCTGGGTCTCTGCAGCCACTCAACAGAAGGAAAAGCTCTCCTCTCCCTGGACTTCTGTGTTTGAGCATCTGTGTCTTCCTCCAGGACAGGCTCCCAGTGATTGGTCAAGACCCTGCCCTCATTCCAATGGGCCATGCTGCCCCCGGGATTGTGATGCAAATGGCATCTGCCTTTTGGCAATGCAGTCACAGCTGCCTTCCAGGAGCTGGTCTGGGTTGCCTTCCAACGGGTCCAGCTGGGTAGCCCTGAGGTCACAGGACAGGTCACCTGAGAGTTTGGGGACACCAGCCAGGAACCTTCTGGACAATGAAGCAGACGTTCCATTTGGGAAATGAGGGGAGAAGCTGCACCTCGGTCCCCTCCCACCAGTCCACACAATTCTTAGAAAAGCCAGAATGAGCCAGTCGCCTACCTACAAGGTGCTGTGGGTGACCCAGGATCAATCCACCGGGTGTTAGCAGAATAATCATACTCTCCAGGGTCTGAATCTGGAATGTTTCACAGCTAAGTGGCAAAATAAAACATGGTTCCCACAAAGGTCTTGGACTCCATGGCGAGTAGGATCTTAGTTCCGGATAGAAAATACATTAGGGGAAGGAGAAATCCAGCCAGCGAGGCAGGCACCTCCCTCCCTCCTTATCCCTCAGCTTGTCATCATGTCTCTCCCAGAGATCATGGCCCATAGAGCGCAGAAGAGGTTCCAGCCAGTGACCAGGCCAGACCCCACTCGGGAGAATCTGCAGTTAGAGAACTCATCCCTGGAAGAGTCTCCCACGTGGGAACCCTCGCAGTTCTGTGTGTCAGGAGGGCAGGAGGGCGGGCCTTCCTGAGTGTGACCTTGCTGGCCAGATGCCCTCAGGAGGCAAAGGTGTGGGGAGGGAGGGAAGTGCCATTATGCAAATTCCCACGCTCAGGAGCCAGGTCAGTTTTCCAAAGTGGACACATCCTTGTACAAGGGACAGACACACAGCCGACTAACCTGCATCGCACAGGGACTGTTGCAAAGCGTCGCAGTCTTCCGTGGTATAGCAGCATCAGACACAGCGAAGCCAGACCAGGTCACGTCGCCTCCGGGCCCTGTGCTTGGCTAACCAGGACAGATGGCCACGGTCAGCACTGTGGGCTTTGCAGGCAGTCAGAGCCCAAAGACCCGGAGTCCTGAGCTGTCAGGCTGCCTCATTACATAAGCTTTTCTACACACAAAGCACCAGTACTGACAGGTCAGCACAGTCTCTGCTTAAAAAGGGAAAGCCAGGAAGAACAAATGAATCATTTTCTGGCAGGATTCGGAGATGAACCTCACCTGAATGCGCAGGTAGGTAGTCCAACACACACCATTCCTGCACACTTCGCTGCTCCGACCACATACCGCCCCAGGCCTGCCTGGGCCCTGAAGACAAGAAGGGCAGAATTCTACAGACCTGGGGTCAGCTGTCAGCAGCCCAGGGGTCGCCATGCCCCCCTCTGAGACAGTGGGGTTGGTGTCCACAGGATGCAGAGCAGGGTCCTATCTCCCAGGGCTGAGCTCAGGGACCAGCGCTTTGGTAACGTCACTGAACAGTGGAAGTGCTCTGGGCGGCAATGGATGAAATGCCTAATGAATTCAAGCTTGTGGCCTGCAATGCCCAGAGCCCCCCACCCACCCCACCCCAGCCACACCGCTGCCTGGGGCATCTTCCAGATCTCTTCCTCCCAGCTCCCAGCTCCCTCCTCCCTTTCCTCCAAGCTCCCAAAGAACTGGTGTCCTGGTTGATTTTTACCTCTAAACAAGCTAATTAAGCAATAATCCTAGAAGAATCCATCACTCTGACAACTTGGTGATGAACCATCCCCAAGCCGAGCCAAAAGTGCTTAATATCCCAGCAGAACGGTCAATAATGAGTACAGCAACAGCTGCAAACAGGTGATGGCTGTATCTGAGAAGGCAGATGCAGAATGGCTGTGGGCCCTCCCTTACAGCCGGTGGAGGGCAGTGGAGAGGAAGGTGGACTGGCTTCCGGCTGCACAGACTGGGATATCTCTAACCAGGTTCTAGATCGTAATTCTGAGACCATCCGGTGCCCCAAGAGAGTATTTAAGGTTATGAACAACTCTGGACCAGGGCAGAAGGGCCAAATGACAGAAGGCTGGACACGGAGGCATCATTCTCCAACTTGACAGCGGTGTCCACTGTATAACTGCTGCGCTGGGAGGAGCGAGATACAATGACTGCCTTTAAGAGAACAATTTCAAGCCCAGACGGATACATCTCTTTCTTTCCCACGTGTAGACTGTAATCTTAAACACCACCACCCCCCACCCCCCACCCCCGCCTGGTTCCTGAAGATTTACTTTCTTCAGTGCTAGGAAAATAGTCCCTTAGAGTCCCCAAGCAGGAGGTGGCCAAACACTGCCTCCTGGTGGTCATAGTGGTTGCAGCTTTGAAGCGTCCACCTTCCAAAGGTTCCTTCCCACCTAAGCATCCAGGGAG